TTACGTGTCTCTTTCCTTGAATACAGTGCAGTTATAAACTGTTTCAAAAACATATTGCACGAGTGAGTGAGTGAATTTGTTTGTTTTATGGATCTTTTATAACGGCAGGTGACAACAAATTGGCTTCAGGTGAGTGAATGAGTGAGTGAGTTGGGTTTAACGCTGCTTTTAACAGTATCCCAGTTGTATTGCGGCAATTGGCTTTAAATGTGTTCCCTGCAGCTATACTGCAATAGTTAAATTGTCGTTGTGTTCGTTGTCATTGCTGCATTCTGATTAGCTGAACTGCTCACGTGTTATTGCATTTATTTCCCATTGAATGTAAAAAATAAGCCACGCCCACCGAAGCGGACTACATTTATTACTTCGGAATGTCGGGGAATCCCAATATTACAGTCGCGGGAATCCCCTTTCTGCTCACGTGTATCGTTATGCACAGGACATTTAGCGAAATTCATGTATATTCACTGTCCAAAACTACCCTTTGAAACCGAAGGCCGACAAGGAATGTAGGCTCGCTCGCCTGTTTTTTAATTTGTTCGCCTGAGTTCTTCAAGTTTCATGTCTCCGGGTTTCATTCATAACCCACATTTGTCCGCCTAAGTCCTCCCATTCTGTGACAACAAATCTTTGAATTTGGCGGTAACTGAATTTGTCACTTGAAAAAGACCCCTTCTCCCTGAATATAATATTAAAAAAAAGAAACGCAAAACGGATATTTTGGGCCATAAAAGCAAAATTAGCGTACCGAAAGGTGCCAAATGAAGAGTAAACCTCTTGTGTACCTGTGTTATAATTTTTTTATTTGACGTTTACACGACATACAGCTTTTCCAGGGGACGAAAGGTCAGTCTCATGACCGCGAAATTGACGTTCATAAGTGAATGAACGACACAATTTGACGTTCATACTTTTTTCACGAGACCGTGTTCTTGAAATGACGTAAACACTGACGGACTACTTCCACATTCCTGGGGAAACCCCTGGGCATTCCCTACCATGAAAACATAAAATACTTAACATATGATAGGTATATTATACACTACTCATCATATGATAGGTATAGTATACACTACTTAACATATGATAGGTATATTATACATTACTTAACATATGATAGGTATATTATACACTACTTAACATATGATAGGTATAGTATACACTACTCAACATATGATAGGTATATTATACACTACTCATCATATGATAGGTATGGTATACACTACTTAACATATGATAGGTATATTATACATTGATAGGTATATTATGCACTACTTAACATATGATAGGTATATTATACACTACTCAACATATGATAGGTATATTATACACTACTCAACATATGATAGGTATAGTATACACTACTTAACATATCATAGGTATATTATACACTACTCAACATATGATAGGTATAGTATACACTTCTCAACATATGATAGGTATATTATACGCTACTCAACATATGATAGGTATAGTATACACTTCTCAACATATGATAGGTATATTATACACCACTCAACATATGATAGGTATATTATACACTACTCAACATATGATAGGTATATTATACACTTCTCAACCTATGATAGGTATATTATACACTACTCAACATATGATAGGTATATTATACACTTCTCAACATATGATAGGTATATTATACACTACTCAACATATGATAGTATATCTTACACTACTCAACATATGATAGGTATATCATACACTACTCAACATATGATAGGCCATTTATACACTACTCAACATATGATAGGTATATTATACACTACTCAACGTATGATAGGTATATTATACACTACTCAACATATGATAGGTATATTATACACTTCTCAACATATGATAGGTATATTATACACTACTCAACATATGATAGGTATATTATACACTTCTCAACATATGATAGGTATATAATACACTACTCAACATGTTAAAGGTATATTATACACTGCTCAACGTATGATAGGTATATTAAACGCTGCTCAACATATGTTAGGTATATTATACCCTTATCAACGTATGATAGGTATATTATACACTACTCAACATATGATAGGTATATTATACACTTCTCAACATATGATAGGTATATTAGAGAGTATGATTTATTACATTGCTCTGAAAGATTTGGCCAAACCAGAAACTCCACTAAATCAGGAAATGACCACCTATTTCTGAATTTGAAATAAGCTAACCAGGGACTGTAAACTTACGTAACATTCTAAGACAAAAATCCGTTTGCCTGAACGTCTCACAATATTTCAAATTTCAGGAACCCATAACAGTTTTATTTTGCTAAACGAACATACTTTCTCCCCAGTTGTTCAATTACATGAACGTGTTTCAGGACGTGGACTTGGCAGTTCATGATGTACAGTGTACTACTGGTAGCTGTCAAGATTCATCATTCTGCTACCAACCTGTCATATACTCACAGTCATATCACCACAGGTGACGTCTCTATTGTTGACAGTAATAACCTTCGTCAGTTAAAATAATTCAACTAAAGACCGTCATGTCTTGAGCAACCTCCTGCTAATTGGGTTAACAACTTTAGAATAAAAAGCCTGAACCTATTGAATGTTGACTTGGTTAAGTCGCTGCGTGATGTTGTCATTGAAAGAATGCTCAAACTGAAAAAGGGGACAACAGAATTAGAATAAACCCATTCTGTCCCAGCCAGCTACCATGTAAGTCTGGTTGGCCTACATGAAACGTTTGAAGTTGTTACAAAATGCCATAAAGAAAGCATGTCAACTGAGGAATATATAATTTTATCCAAAACCAGGACTTCTAAAAGCTGAAGACATGTCCCTTCGTTTTGTACTGGATCCAAAAGCTCCACAATAATCGTACAAAGAGAGACATATTGCTGGGTCCAACAAATGTACTACCAACTCCCTGTCTTAAAGACTAACCATAATCCTTAATGCAATCAAGGTAGGACTTTCTTTATACTCACAGAAAGTATATGTGACAAGTAGAAATTATAACTAGATGCTTGGTTATTTTCAATCTCAGAAGTTCAATTATGATTTCAATTTTATCATCAACTACATCCTTATTCCTCACTACAAACCTGAAGAAAAGCCTCATTCCTTGATCCATGGGACATATATTTAGTTTCATCACTATCTGCAAAGGTTCAGGACAATTTGCCAAAAATGAAAGCAAATGTCATGTGAAGTTTACTGAGAAGTCAATATGCAAAATACTGAGCATTCCACAAAGATATCAACTATGTGTAATTTGAGGAGAAGACATTTAGTTAAGATGTCGGCGTCCTTTAGTATATAATCGGAATTTCTACGCGGATTGGTAAACAACAAAGTAAAAACAAGGGAATTGGGTCAAAACGTTTATACTGGTTCACATACCCTTGAAAGAAATAGAAAAGACCAGTGAAACCACCTCATATGTTTCATCTTTAGATCCATGGATAAAGATTCAAGACCGGGTGACTTCAAGTTTCCCACAATCAACTTTCCTTTTATGTCGTGCAGTTCCAGCCTTTGGTGTCTACATTTCGCATTTTTTTGGGTACAAGCGAGCATGCTCTTTCTCATCTTCCCGAGGCAAGAGAGTTAACTGACTTTCAAAGTCCAGTTTCCACCCTTGCCGAACTTGGCTGGAATTACTGGGCGCCACCATCGTAGCGCCACCAGTGGCTATTACCAGTTATGTCCCTTCTACGCCTCTCCTGTGGACCAATCAGATTCCACCTCTCGTATCACTTGCGTATGCTTCACACAAAATGGTGGCGCCCGGTCAGGACAATCTGATCAATAATCAAGATCTATATAGTGATAAAACGGGTCTTACATCGCGAAATGCATCAAATCACGTAAGCACCTTCATTAAAAACATGAAAAATTTGGAAAATATCTGCTAACAACGAGTTGGCGGTGCACATGCTTTGCAAATCCTGCAATTGACTGACATCTGCACGACAGATTACGAAGCGGATTTCGATTTCGGTGCGCGATTTTGATTGGACTATGCATAGACCAGTCAAAAAGTAACTCCATAATACCAGCCTAGTTCGGCAAGGGTGGAAACTGGACTTTTTTAGTCAGTTAACTCTCTTGCCTCGGGAAGATGGCTCTTTCTATGAAGATTTCAAAGAGCGCCAATCGACTTTGCTCAAAGGTTGTTAATGCAATTCCCTATTTTGACTTGTACCAAAGTTTATATGCCTTTGACCGGTGAAGATCCGGGGTAGAATGGGTCTTGAGCAACCCATGCTTGCCGTAAAAGGCGACTATGCATGTCATAATAGGCGACTGGCGGGATCGGATGGTCAGGCTCGTTGATTTGGTTGATGCATGTCATCGATCCCAATTACTTGGATCGATGCTCATGATACAATGACTGGATTGTCTGGTCCAGACTCGATTATTTACAGACCGCCGTCATATAGCTGGAAATTTGCTGAGTTAAACAACAGACCAACCAAACAATCATATGCATTTTTGGATGATGGAAGAACGTAGTGTATGCATAACTGTGACGGATTGACGATGGGTTGTCTCATATGAGCTAAAGAAATTAGGTGAGTGAGTAAGTACGCAGCTTTTAGCAATATTCCAGTAATATCTTGGTAGGGGACAATAGAAATGGGCTTCACACTTTGTACCCATGTGGGGAATCGAACCCAGGTCTTCGGCGTGACGACCGCCTCCGTGGTCTAATGGTAGAGCGTCCGACCGGAGAGCGGAAGGTCCAGGGTTCGATCCCCGGCCGCGTCATACCAAAAGACGTTAAAAATGGTACTTGTTGTTACCCTGTCTGGCGCTTGGCATTAAGTGGCTAAAACAAGGACTGGTCGGCTCGGAGTCAGTATACTGTGTCTGAGTGGGATATTCCTGTTAAACTGCGGCATGGTATCTCAGTGAGCTAGCACTATAAATCGGCATCAGTCCGGCCTAGTACAAGCAGCCACACACATACATACACGTGCATGCACGTCGCTATATAAGTGCAATAATCTTGGACGCGACGTTAAACCCCATTTCACCTCACCTCTTCGGCGTGACGAGCGAACGATTTAACCACACCGCCAAAAGAATTTATAAAAAAAACCTACGTCTTGACAAATGACACAGAGCGTCAGGATAATCCGTGCAGTCGATGACAATAGTAGGACTGAAAAGGCTTTCTAAATATGAATACAATACAATAATATTTGGACACAAGCTGCATGACTGTATACTTACTTTGTGTTGAACAAAATTATAAATATATTATACATGATATTTAATTCTGAGTAATATTTGGCAAACTTTTGAAAATATTTTGTACAAGTGCCTTGTCCGATCATATGTGTTTTGAATACGACCATTGACAGAATGACACTCCATCGTGTTTGTATCTATGGGTAACGTCCTTTCGTCAAATCCAAAGATAGAATGACACTTCATCGTTGTTGTATCAAGGGGTACCGCCTTCTTCTAAATTCCTAGATCCGCCCGTGAACGTCATGGGGAAGTAGCAAGAATGAAGAAGTAACCGAGCCATGCCATCAAGTGCAGTGATCCAGCTTGAATACAATAACCACCAGATGTTCCTGAAAGTATAAGCAATTAAATGACACGGACGCCATCAATTGCTTACATACACGATCTACATCAATTAATACACCAGTGATATACACAAATGTTTAAAAGTATTATACACCAATATCATTCACCAATAGTTTACACCAATGTTATACACAGTGTCATGCACAAATAGTATACACCGGTGTTATACACAATGTTATACACGGTGTTATACACCAATGTTATACACCAGTGTTATACACTGGTGTTATACACAGATAGTTTACACCTATGTCATACACCAGTGTTTTACACCAATGTTAAAAAGTGTTATAAACCAATGTTATACACCAATGTCACTCACCAATAGCTTACACCAATGATGTACACCAGTGTAAAACGCCAATATTATACACAGTGTTATACACCAATGTTATACACCAGTGTTATACACCAATGTTATACACCAGTGTTTTACACAGATGAAACTGGAATAAAAATGATTGGGAAAAAAGAAGTGTTATACACAAATAGTTTACACCTATGTTATACAACGGTGTTTTACACCAACGTTAAAAAGTTTTATCAACAAATTTTATATACCAATGTTACTCACTAATAGCTTACACTAATGCTGTACACCAGTGTAAAACACCAATATTATACACAGTGTTATACACCAATGTCATGCCCAAAAGTATACACAAATATCATACACCAGTGTTATGCAAGAAAACATTACACCAAAGTTACAGACCGATAGTATATACCTTTCTAATGTATACACCAATTGTCTATGTTAAGACCAATTATATACACCGGTGATATACATGGAGTGGTCATGGTGGTCAAATTTATTTATCTGCTGGACAAGTCACGGTTGCATCCCGTCATATATTTACGGGGTCATAAACAATTAATAATCGAGATTACAATACATAGCAGACATGACCTAGACTTTTTATGGGTTGATTTTAAACATCGATTGTCGACTGTCCAGACTGCCACCGTTTGCTGTGCAGAGTTGCTTCCATTAGGCGTGCCAAAAACCTACGATCGTGGGTTCGAATACCAGATTCAGTTTGATTGTATCTTTCTAGGCTTCAGCATCATACCAACGCTCGTTAATTGCACCAAAAATGTACGAGGCAAAAACCTTCATCACGTTCTTCCACATTATTGCTCACACGCTGTGATATAACTGAAATATTGCTCAGAGCAATGTGTTAGGTTGTTGTTTAACGCCGCACTTAGCAATATTCCAGCTATATGACGGCGGTCTGTAAATAATCGAGTCCGGATCAGATAATCCAGTAATTGATACCATGAGCATCGATCCAAGCAATAAGGATACGATTACATGCATTAAACCAAGTCAGAGAGCATGACCACCCGATTCCATGGGTCGTCTTGTACGACAAGCATTGGTTGCTGAAGACCTATTCTAACCCAGATCTTCATGGGTATAGAGCAATTTTAACTAACTCCCTCACTCACTAACTATTGTGTCAGTACCTGAAACAGATCAGATTCATTTGGGTGTAAAAAGGCTAAATAGCGGTGATAATATAGATGACTGAAAATAGATCACGGAAAATCAGTGATGACTCGAGGTGTTCGCGAAAATGGAAAGTATGTCCTCGCCTACCGTTAGCACCCGCCACTAACAAAACTTAGATATAGTTATTTTTTTGTTGCCTACGCCGGACAGCAAGACAAGTAGTTAATTGCAGCTATTTACATCATCACTAACTCTCTATAATGATATTTGTCCATGCTGTGTGTGACTAGAAAGTTCATTTCATCTGATCCGTGCAATAGTCAACACAATTATTTGAGGTCAATCAAACAGATGCACTTAGGGAGAAAGGTGGCCCTTTAAATAATTTCTGGAACTGTCAACAACTCGGACAAGGCTATATTGAGATTTCAGTAACATCGAAACATTAGGCATGAGATTTACAGAATTCACTGACACTAATCTTCCTCCCTCTGTCATTTCCCTGGGGATTGTTGGTTGGTCTAATCAGGTTTATACGGTGTAGTCATGAGTAAAGTTTTTATGTTACGTGTTCAGGTCATTTTCCTGGGCTCAATGACAACAGGACAACAATAGTCCAAAGTTGTCTTTGGCATTGCTCACCTATCTCACCTATAGGGTAATGCTAACATTTGTTTTTTCATGTATATATTATGTATTAAACTTGTTGTATTCCAAATATGTTCATCAATGTGGACCATTGTTGCTGATATGCTTCAAATAAATAATATCACTCCAAAAGGTTTTTAACTAAATTGTAGTAACCTTGAACTACTATGGTGCCTCTTCATACATATTGTTTTATTTATCTAATTTATATGTGATGGGTGTGACGTGAATTTTTTTCATACGATCACCATGTAATGAATTTGCATCATGATATGTGAGGTAAAGCGTGGGATAACCTGAAATGCATTTATTACTTTGTTTTTAAGGGACTTTCATCACAACTACACGTTGTACTGTATGGTGTGTAACCATGTCTGTTTGCAAATGTACGTTTTATACCGAAGTCAGGTCTTTTATCATAATTAAGGGTGGAATGAATCGTCTATATAAATAAGCGAATAGTTTTCGATTAAAGAGCACACGTTCTGCTCTATACCCAATATTCCAGCGTCGAAAAGTCTGATACCCTAAACTCTCCGCAATAATATTTAATGCTTTTGATGTGAGTATGTGCGTAAGTATGATTTTACGCCGCACTTAGCAATATTCCAGCTATAAGACGGCTGTCTGTGAGTGAGTATGGTTTTACGCCGCTTTTAGCAATATGCCAGCAATATCACGGCGGGGGACACCAGAAATGGGCTTCACACATTGTAGCCATGTTGGGAATCTAACCCGGGTCATCGGCGTGACGAGCGAACGCTTTAAATACTAGGCTACCCGACCTCCCCACGGCTGTCTGTGAATAATCGAGTCTGGGTCAGATAATCCAGTGATTGATATAATGAGCATCGGTCCAAGCAATTAGGATACGATTACATGCATTAAACCATGTCAGAGAGCATGACCACACCATCCCGTTAGTCGTCTTGTACGACAAGCATTGGTTGCTGAAGACTTATTCTGACCCAGATCTTCACGGGTATAGAGCTGTGTTAAACCCACTCCCTCCCTCACTCACTAACTATTGTTTCAGTACCTGGATCAGAAATGGTGAGATTCTTCTGTGCTTTTGGGGCATTCTCAAACTCGTATTGACACGTCCAGGCAATATCATCCATTGTGACAGCGGTAATGCCAACAACAATTTTGTTGGGAGTCGACAGACTTTCCTTGTAAAAATATCCAGGAAAATTTGTCACACATGTGTTATATGTTGGACAGGTAAACACGGTAAGATTCGGGTCCTTTTTTATAGTTATTGTCACTTTTTGAAATGATTCTCCATCTGTTGTACAATTGAGAAGTGTCGTCGTCCCAAGAAGAACAAGTTCATCGGTCTCCAGTCGTAACACTGTTTCTGGAATGTGAATATAAGACGTTAACTCCAGTCTCGATTATCCGCCGAAACAGATCAGATTCATTTGGGTGTAAAAAGGCTAAATAGCGATGATAATATAGATGACTGAAAATAGATCACGGAAAATCAGTGATGACTCGAGGTGTTCGCGAAAATGGAAAGTATGTCCTCGCCTACCGTTAGCACCCGCCACTAACACAACTTAGATATAGTTATTTTTTTGTTGCCTACGCCGGACAGCAAGACAAGTAGTTAATTACAGCTATTTAAAACATCACTAACTCTCTATAATGATATTTTTCCATGCTGTGTGTGACTAGAAAGTTCATTTCATCTGATCCATGCAATAGTCAACACAATTATTTGAGGTCAATCAAACAGATAAACTTAGGGAGAAAGGTGGCCCTTTAATCATTTCTGGAACTGTCAACAACTCGGACAAGGCTATATTGAGATTTCAGTAACATCGAAACATTAGGCATGAGATTTACAGAATTCACTGACACTAATCTTCCTCCCTCTGTCATTTCCCTGGGGATTGTTGGTTGGTCTAATCAGGTTTATACGGTGTAGTCATGAGTAAAGTTTTTATGTTACTTGTTCAGGTCATTTTCCTGGGCTCAATGACAACAGGACAACAATAGTCCAAAGTTGTCTTTGGCATTGCTCACCTATCTCACCTATAGGGTAATGCTAACATTTGTTTTTTCATGTAAATATTATGTATTAAACTTGTTGTATTCCAAATATGTTCATCAATGTGGACCATTGTTGCTGATATGCTTCAAATAAATAATATCACTCCAAAAGGTTTTTAACTAAATTGTAGTAACCTTGAACTACTATGGTGCCTCTTCATACATATTGTTTTATTTATCTAATTTATATGTGATGGGTGTGACGTGAATTTTTTTCATACGATCACCATGTAATGAATTTGCATCATGATATGTGAGGTAAAGCGTGGGATAACCTGAAATGCATTTATTACTTTGTTTTTAAGGGACTTTCATCACAACTACACGTTGTACTGTATGGTGTGTAACCATGTCTGTTTGCAAATGTACGTTTTATACCGAAGTCAGGTCTTTTATCATAATTAAGGGTGAAATGAATCGTCTATATAAATAAGCGAATAGTTTTCGATTAAAGAGCACACGTTCTGCTCTATACCCAATATTCCAGCGTCGAAAAGTCTGATACCCTAAACTCTCCGCAATAGTATTTAATGCTTTTGATGTGAGTATGTGCGTAAGTATGATTTTACGCCGCACTTAGCAATATTCCAGCTATAAGACGGCTGTCTGTGAGTGAGTATGGTTTTACGCCGCTTTTAGCAATATGCCAGCAATATCACGGCGGGGGACACCAGAAATGGGCTTCACACATTGTAGCCATGTTGGGAATCTAACCCGGGTCATCGGCGTGACGAGCGAACGCTTTAAATACTAGGCTACCCGACCTCCCCACGGCTGTCTGTGAATAATCGAGTCTGGGTCAGATAATCCAGTGATTGATATAATGAGCATCGGTCCAAGCAATTAGGATACGATTACATGCATTAAACCATGCCAGAGAGCATGACCACCCTATCCCGTTAGTCGTCTTGTACGACAAGCATTAGTTGCTGAAGACCTATTCTGACCCAGATCTTCACGGGTATAGAGCTGTGTTAAACCCACTCCCTCCCTCACTCACTAACTATTGTTTCAGTACCTGGATCAGAAATGGTGAGATTCTTCTGTGCTTTTGGGGCATTCTCAAACTCGTATTGACACGTCCAGGCAATATCATCCATTGTGACAGCGGTAATGCCAACAACAATTTTGTTGGGAGTCGACAGACTTTCCTTGTAAAAATATCCAGGAAAATTTGTAACACATGTGTTATATGTTGGACAGGTAAACACGGTAAGATTCGGGTCCTTTTTTATAGTTATTGTCACTTTTTGAAATGATTCTCCATCTGTTGTACAATTGAGAAGTGTCGTCGTCCCAAGAAGAACAAGTTCATCGGTCTCCAGTCGTAACACTGTTTCTGGAATGTGAATATAAGACGTTAACTCCAGTCTCGATTATCCGCCGAAACAGATCAGATTCATTTGGGTGTAAAAAGGCTAAATAGCGGTGATAATATAGATGACTGAAAATAGATCACGGCAAAATCAGTGATGACTCGAGGTGTTCGCGAAAATGGAAAGTATGTCCTCGCCTACCGTTAGCACCCGCCACTAACACAACTTAGATATAGTTATGTTTTTGTTGCCTACGCCGGACAGCAAGACAAGTAGTTAATTACAGCTATTTACAACATCACTAACTCTCTATAATGATATTTGTCCATGCTGTGTGTGACTAGAAAGTTCATTTCATCTGATCCATTCAATAGTCAGCACAATTATTTGAGGTCAATCAAACAGATGAACTTAGGGAGAAAGGTGGCCCTTTAATCATTTCTGGAACTGTCAACAACTCGGACAAGGCTATATTGAGATTTCAGTAACATCGAAACATTAGGCGTGAGATTTACAGAATTCACTGACACTAATCTTCCTCCCTCTGTCATTTCCCTGGGGATTGTTGGTTGGTCTAATCAGGTTTATACGGTGTAGTCATGAGTAAAGTTTTTATGTAACGTGTTCAGGTCATTTTCCTGGGCTCAATGACAACAGGACAACAATAGTCCAAAGTTGTCTTTGGCATTGCTCACCTATCTCACCTATAGGGTAATGCTAACATTTGTTTTTTCATGTAAATATTATGTATTAAACTTGTTGTATTCCAAATATGTTCATCAATGTGGACCATTGTTGCTGATATGCTTCAAATAAATAATATCACTCCAAAAGGTTTTTAACTAAATTGTAGTAACCTTGAACTACTATGGTGCCTCTTCATTCATATTGTTTTATTTATCTAATTTATATGTGATGGGTGTGACGTGAATTTTTTTCATACGATCACCATGTAATGAATTTGCATCATGATATGTGAGGTAAAGCGTGGGATAACCTGAAATGCATTTATTACTTTGTTTTTAAGGGACTTTCATCACAACTACACGTCGTACTGCATGGTGTAACCATGTCTGTTTGCAAATGTACGTTTTATACCGAAGTCAGGTCTTTTATCATAATTAAGGGTGAAATGAATCGTCTATATAATTAAGTGAAAAGCACACATTCTGCTCCATACCCTATATTCCAGTGTCGCACAGTCTGATACCCTCAAACCACCGCAACAGTGTTTAAAGCTTTTGGAGTGAGTGAGTGGGTAAGTATGATTTTACGCCGCACTTAGCAATATTCCAGCAATACAACGGCGTGGGACACCAGAACTGGACTTTAAACATTGTACCATGTGGGGAATTGAACCCGGGTCTTGGAGTGATGAGCGAACGGTTTAACCACTAGGCTACCCTACTTCCCCTAATGAGTGCATCCTAGTATGTGTATTATAACACAGGCCTAAGCAGTGAATCGGTACGTACCAGACATGCAGAACCACAACATGAGTATAAAGTATGACTTCATTGTATGCTGATATTGGTGTGTTTTATCTTACTGCTCGTACACTATCTGTGCAACCCTTCTCTATCTGAAATACAAATCATTGTTTATAGTTACAGCTATGCACCCTCTTCTGTTTGTTTGTTGTTTGTTTGTTTGTTTGTTGTTTAACGCCGCACTCAGCAATTTTCCAGCTATATGACTGCGGTCTGTAAATAATCAAGTCTGGACCAGACAATCCAGTGATTGACATCATGAGCATCGATTCACGCAAATGGGATACGATGACATGCATCACCCAAGTCAGCGAGCCTGACCACCCGATCCCATTAGTCACTTTATACAAAGCTACAGTCTGTGAAAATAGTTTTATGTAAACATGAAACATATTTAAACATTAATGAAGTTATGCCCTGCTCTATGGAAGGGGGCATGGGAAATAACTAAAATCTCCCTTGAGCTCTGCATGACGGCTGATGCACGGGGGACAATGGTTCACTCCCAATTGTCAAACATCCCATTTGTCAGACGACCCAAATTATATCAAAATACGAAAATAGAAATCATATCAATACAAAAACCAGAAATTCTGTGAATACCGAACTCGCAATAGATATGTGTATCCTACTCACACACAAAATCGCTAAGGCCTAAGGCAGAACAATAATCAGTAGGGTATCACCACCATGGCTGGTATACGCAAAGTTGAGTACATCGATTGTCAGAGAGGAACCCCACAAGTATTCCTTGATGGGTTCATTTACTCTAAGAATCGAACCAGAGGCCAGACCACACACTGGAAATGTTCCACTGTTGGGGACTTCCTTAAAGATGTCTCGAACCACTGTCACCCACCTAGAGATCAGACTCAGGACTGTCAAGTTTGTCACTACTTTGAGGAATCGGGCCAGGGAAGAAGTAAGGCCAGTGGGCAGAAGACACTTCTTGAAGTCTCGGATGCTGTTGGACATTTGCTGGAGCTGACCTGAAAACAGACATTGTACTGAACTGTGATCAGTGTGTATTGTGTATATAGTGTCTTTTGCAATAATAACTTCTGTTCCACTTAATGAAAGGTAAACAGGTAACTATTGCGTGACTAACCAACCTTGACTTATCCTGGTATAAGCTGTTTGAAGAAGAAGAAGAAGAAGAAAAATGGTTTATTTTTGTCTCACACATGGTCACAAAATACATAACACCCCAAGATTTAACATGACCACCCATTCAGGGTTATGAGAGACATTTAACATATAAACAAATTATAAATTAAATCACATATTTAAAACATATAAGTATTGGGTCACACGAGCAACCTTACACTTAAAATATCAAATATTACCCACGATATAATATCTAAATATAGCCTGCAATACAAGGCTTAAAGACGACCCGCAGTGTAATATTCGGATACAGACCGCTGGAAACAGTGCTTTGTAAAAGTAATAAATTAGTATTATATTATTATGATATATTTACATCCATACGTCGTCGAAACATCAGGGACACTGTTGCAGCTAGGCAATGTTGTATATCCTCGTTTAAGGTAAGGTAAACAAACTGATTATTTTTGGCTTAACTGAGAAAATTATTGTCAGTAAGTTACAACGGATATCTGAGTATAGTCTGCAGTTCATTAGAAAATGAAATTCGTCTTCTACGATTACAATAGTTACATGTTCTTTCCTCTAGAGGAATTGGTGGTCGACTAAATATTCCTAATTCAATTTGAAGAGGTAGAGTGCCACATCTCAATTTAGCAAGATTACTTCTATGTTGTCTGCTTCTGATTAATTTAACGTATGGTTCTGTGCAGGGATTAACTTTAAATTTCCTATAGGTACGAAGCTTATTACCGTTGGCTAGTCCCCGGTCATTCCACAGCTCGTTAAACCACGTAACAGAGTCCATATGGATTAAATGTTCTTAAATGGTCTTAAAATCTTGATTTGACACCTGCATTATATTTGGGATATCGATGCCTAACTTAGCAAAGACTGACCGAACGTTATTTATCCAGGATTTACATCTTCTTTTGGACCACATAGCGATTTTATGAACTATTCTGTCTTGTTCAACGATCGACAACTTCTTACATAACCTAATGACTTCAATTCTCTATAGGGTAAGCGAAGACAGCCAACCCATCTCTCCCCTCACAGCCACTTAGGGGTTTTACAGCTGACGCCAAAGAAAAATGTTTGACAAATGGAATGTCTGACAATGATACACTATCTGTCCCCATTGTCAGTGTAGGTTTGGGTGGTTTAATCAGTGACCACGCTTGAAGTTATGGTCGCATTCAAGATTATACCATACCCCAGTTCACACGCAATCAGACACATTACACTAACTCTTTGTCCGCAAGTCCCCGTTTTGTCTCCTTAAATACAAAGCCACGTGAAGGTAGCAACAAGTACATGGAGGTTATAACGAAAATGTGTTTGGGGAAGGTACATATCCTGTATTAGGAATACATAGTGTTTATTCCTAATGCAGGATATTTACCCTCCCAAATCACAAGTGTGATAACCTCTTTATCAGATAATGTCGTTCTTCAATTCTAGAGAAGCTACTCTAATGCTGTCAAAATTATTATTATTATTATGCCTCAAATTGAGATTGACCAATCAGAGAGTAGAACTACTGACCCCATATGAGCCCGTTGTTACTGACCTAATATGAGACCGTATACCGTCAGTAACTTCCACTTCACATATTTCACTTGAAGGACGTTTTTGGATCAGGTTCGTGACTTAGATAAGATTACATAAAGTTAAAATCATCAACAAGGTTTGGCCTATGAGGTTTGAAGAGCAGTATCCCTTTGACCCTTAACGTCTTAGGTTGTACGTTTTAAGTTTTGACATTATATGTGCGACTGAGATACCAAATAGTGTAAACTTTTCGGCATAATAAATTCGTTATGGTGTCTTTAGGTGTCAGACGTCTCTCCCAATATTTTTCTGCTAACCTAACATGACACCGCATACGGCAACAAAATACACCATAACTAATATTACACACACCGAGCGTTGACAAACATTTACCCAACACGAGGTTCAGTTAATAAGGCGCTTACAAGGAGTCGCCTCAGAATTGTTCACAAACATACTTTGCGTTTCTATACCACGCTTACATAAAGCCACACTGACATGAATAAATTCGACATGGAGTGGAACACCCATGACACACACCTCACCTCATCAATGGATGCCTCGGTGGTGAATTATACCGACCTGCTTGTCTGTGTTCACCATTTATACACACCTTCATGGAGTACCCTGCCAGCGGGGTGGAGACTGCACAACAACTAATAAGAAAGATGAATTCTCAAGGAATAGGACGATATGGTTAGTTAGCTCGGTACAAAGGATGTCACAAGCCCTTTATCGCATATCAAGACAAGACAAGAAGTTTATTGTATGAAAGGCCTCCGGCCACTATACAAATACACACAATGTATACTTACTTTCAACATATATGTGCGTTCTAGGAGACATTAGTATTTACAAGTTCTTGCCGAATATTGAGTGCTTGATGGAGAAATTGAGCTAGACTGTAGATTACACCAGAAGATTGATTAGACATAAGTGATATAAGGGATGTGGTACTTTAGAAGTCCCATGAATTAATATCAAATTTCTGGACGCTTGCCAGACGGGTAAGCCCCGTTAAAGACTCAGGGGGTCTTTATATATCAGCGCTCCATTATTTCCCGGGTAAAGGCAGCAGTTGAACTGAGATCGCTTTGTGGTGTCGTGACTGAGTTGGGTTAAAAATGTTTAACGCCACTTTGAATATTTCAGAGATATCTCGACGTGTCAGCTTCAGGGATGTGAGCAGGTTTTCCAAAAAAAAAGAGGAAAAGTCAAGGGGGATCTGGGGGCATGCCCCCTTAGAAATTTTTAAAACATTTGATTGCATTTTAAGCAATTTCATGCAGTTTGGAGCACGGGTACGGTGCAGACAAACCTAGAAACATAATCGGGGCGAACCGGGATTCGAAACCACAATCATAGGTTTCTGGCGTGCCCAACTCAGCGAATCGCGGCGCCTTAGACGACTGGGCCACCCGTGTCCGCCATAATTGACCTGAACACGATGTCAGCATTATATCACCATACCGCTCAGGTTTGCGAATCCATTAACATATATACTTAATACACTTGAATACCATACCTCTAATATACATACCTTTACAAGACATATCCAGGACAAGCAGAAACGCAAGGGACGAACGAATCATCCGCGCGGTATCCATTGCTCTTTCTGTTTACGCACTTCATACTATGAGGTGTAATTCGGGATGTCTATTTATAACGGGACAAACCGGACACAGTCCACAGTGCTGTGCTGAGAGCACGGTTGTAACAGAGCACAGCTTGTCGGTACAAGGCTTTGTATAAGGGATTGCCTAAAAGTCGGGCCAAGAAAAGTCGGGCCGGGCCGGGCCAGCGGGTAATACTAAAAGTGGATTGCAGAATAATAAAACGAAACGCGCATATCTAGGCAGATCTCAAATGTCCACAAACGTATAGTTTTGCTCATTTAATTGAGTTTGAATAAAAATGCACCTTCAACAATGTAATTAACTGATGATTATGACTACATACCGTGAGTCTCGTAGAAAAGTCAGCGTCTTGACTGTGTGTATTCTTTGATTAGAATGCTTCTCACCGACCTTGGCGTGTAGGGGTGTGATGTCCTGGGCAGGAAACGACAGTGTTTTGACTACTCTTCTTTCATTATTTAACGTGTTGGGCATCCCTAATTAACCTTTACTAATTCGTGTTAAACCAACACAGGATGTTTTCTGGAAGTGGATATTCGCGAATGTCAAAAGACTGACACGACACGTGTTAATAACTGTCCAAGCACTTCTAAAGTTCCTAACATTATTTATATCTAAAGACTAGTATTATATCTAATTATTTACCACTTTATTGTCTCATATTTCAGTAGTTAAAGAAAACACAGAGCTCAAAGTGAAGCCTTTTTCACTCTACATTCTCAACATAGTCTCTATCAGAAGTGTTTCGCTTGTGTTGGGTCCGACTTGGCCCGGGCGGTCATAATCAACTTTAAACGCACAGATGTATCTTCAAATGTGATTAAATCTATAGATTAGTGTTATATCTACCTATACACCAATTTATAATGTCACAGATCGCAGTATTTATAGAAAACAAAGGGCTAAAAGTGAAGCCCTTTTCCCTCTTCATTCTCAACATTGTCTCTATCAGAAGTGTTTGACTTGTGTTGTGTCCGACTTGGCCCGGGCGGTCAAAATCAACTTTAAACACACAGATGTATCTTCAAATGTGCTTAAATCTATAGATTCGTGTTATATCTACCTATACACCAATTTATAATGTCACAGATCGCAGTATTTATAGAAAACAAAGGGCTCAAAGTGAAGCCCTTTTCCCTCTACATTCTCAACATAGTCTCTATCTATGAAGTAATTAGCCATAACACTTTGGCCCGGCCCGGCCCGACTTTTAGGCAATCCCTTTGTATAACAGTGTTTATCCATGTTATAAAGGGACTGTTATCTCAATGTCAATGTGACCTGTGCGTTTTGTTTGTTGGTTGTTTAACGCCGCACAGTCTGCACCAGACAACCCAGCGATTGAAAGCATAAGCATCGATCTACGCAATTTGGATGCGATGCCATACATCAACCAAGTCAGCGAGTCTGACCACCCGGTCCCGTTAGTCGCCTCTAACGACAAGCATAGTTGCGTCTTACTGCAAGCGTTGGTTGCTGAAGACCTATTCTAACCCGGATGTTCAAGGGTCGACCTATGAGTAACCTGTAAAATGACTGTCTAGTGTTGGGAACTGTGTGTTGTACTATGTTGGTCACAAAGACATGAACTGTGTGGATGCTAGACTGAAAGAGAGGTAGAAATGTCTTCAGACTCTTTATTGAATCATACCAAAAGTAATAAACAGTGTAGATACGACACCCAACACATAAATATGAAATTCATAAAACGTAATTATGTAATAAGAACACGCGTATAACGAAGTGACGGATGTAACGAACTCATTTTCTACCCCGGTCATTTGCTGAAAACATGCTGTATATATGCTTACAACGAACTCAGTCGATTGGACAGCAAACATGGAATGACCCGTGATGTGAAGGAGAGACGACGTGCAAGACAACCACATCATCCAGAGATATAATGCTGTCTCAATGCCTATGGTTCGTGTCTCACCATTTATGACGTGAGGTGAGGTGAGTTGAAATGGGGTTTAACGTCGCGTCCAAGATTATTGCACTGTGTTTGTGTGGCTGCTTGTACTAGTCTGGACTGATGCCGATTTATAGTGCTAGCTCACTGAGATACCATGCCGCAGTTTAACATGAATACCCCACTCAGACACAGTATACTGACTCCGAGCCGACCAGTCCTTGTATTAGCCCCTTAATGCCGAGCGCCAGACAGGGTAACAACAAGAACCATCTTTGAACGTCTTTTGGTATGACGCCGCCGGGGACCGAACCCCGGACCTTCCGCTCTCCAGGCGGACGCTCTACAACTAGACCACGGAGGCGGTCTCACCATTTATGAACGGCACACTGATGAGAGATCAATGGCTACCAGAAAGAACCATATCTACCAGAACTGTTAGAAATCTACTGAAAGCAGCTTGTTGCGGTGCCAGAAGACCACTCGAGTGTACTTATCTCCATCAACGACACAAGATTGCTCGTTTAGCATGGTGTAAAATGCGGTTACGGTGTAATTTTGCATCATGGAGAAAGGTCCACTTGTCAGACGAAAGTCGCTTTCTTCTTCACATGACTGCGCTGGGAAATATAACTGTGATTGCCAGGAACATCATGAAAACAGTTCAATTTAGTGTGGGGTCTGTGATGGGATATTTCCCACGATCGTAAGCTGGACCCCAGGGGCACACTACATGCTGGTCCCATCGTTCACGACCAATAGTTGATTGTTTACGTCAGAATGCATTTGACGCAATTCCTTGGCCAGCGATGACTCCGGATCAAGCACCTGTGTGTCAGGCTTGGGCGTCGACTACGGGTGAGAGATCCACCAGTGCAGGATGTCAATGTTTGTTTGTTTGTTGTCATGATCCATTAGGGTACGATGACATGAATCAACCAAGTCAGCAAGTCTGACCACCCGATCTCGTTAGTCGCCATTTAAGAAAAGCATACTCGCCTTTTACAACAACCACGGGTTGCTGAAGACCTATTCCTCCCCGGATGTTCACGGGTCCGGATGTCAATAAACTGGATGCCGCTTTTCACAAGGAATGGCGAAGGATTCCCCAACGTCAGATCCTACGTCTTGTCCAAGGAATGCGGAGACGTCTGGTAGCAGTCATCTGTGTCCTTAGGGGTTTGCCATTTCCGCCATTATCTCCTAGTTTTGGACTTGTCCCGACAGGGCATCAACAGTAAACCCTTTTCAATGTTTCATTATTGTTTCAGACCGATAGTAACTGAATTAGAATCATAGCGTTAAAAGATTGAGATGAACATCAAGCACAAACGATGCGTTTTAGGCCATCACACAGATGAAGCTTTATGTACCATTTTTCGAAGTCCCCCAAACTATTTTTACCATTATATCGCTTTCTGCGGGGTGTCTGTTCATCCAAGAGCGTACACAAAAAATCACAAACACAGTATGTCAACACCATTAATATTTGTACTTTAACAAACAAATAAAAAATGTCATCAGCTGTAATACTAATGTGCGTTGTGTGTGTGTGTGTTGGGGGGGGGGGGGGGGGGGGGGGGGGGGCGCAAAACCCTTCCGCTGACCGTCGATCATTTCCCGATGAACGTCATTATGTCACGTGATTACGTTGTAAATCGTGCGGAGCCATACAGATCTACTTTAGGGGAATTCCTCAAAGTCTAAAAATAACATTAAAAATCATTACGGAAAGCTGAGAGGGACATCGATTCAGGCTATGATTGACGCACGGTTTGAAGCCAGACGGATCATGTTTATATCGGGTCACCGAAATGAAGCGTCCATTCGAAGCTATAACAGAGAATGCTCAACTTAGCAAAAGAAATCACTGACCTCCACACTGTCGTGTGGATCTTCGGCAAATCAAACCGCGCCCTCAAGCGGTAATCCCTGTCATCAGCAGCCGTAGACTCAAACACTCACCCAAAGTTCTCAGAACGTTAATATCAATCCATCTTCAGCACCAGCCGTTGTGTTATGTGAGGTGAGGTGAGGTGAAATTGGGTTTAACGTCGCGTCCAAGATTATCGTTGTGTTATGATTTATGTATCTGTCAATATAAGGATGAACGTCAACAAATACAACTTCAATCCTTAAATGACTTCAAGTGGAATGAGGGGGTACGGGTGGCCCAGTCGTCTAAGGCGCCGCGATTCGCTATGAAGAGTTGCGTTCCTTGGGCACGCCAGAAACCTATGATTGTGGATTCGAATCCCGGTTCGACCCGATAATGTTTCTAGGTTTGTCAGCACCATACCCGTGCTCGTGGGTTTCACTGAAGTGGTAAACGTCTTAGACCTGCATCACTTCGGGCTTTCCTCCCACATTGAGCTGACACGCCGCGATGTAACTGTAATATTGTTAAAAGCTGCGATAAACCCAACTCACTCACTCATTCACTCAAGTGGAATGACTGTATCAAAATTGTCCACCAGATAGCCGAGGGATCCAGACGAGGCCACTATGATAAACTATACACGCAATATTCCAGCTATGTGAAGGCGGTCTGTAAAAACTCGAGTCTGGATCAGACAAACCAGTGATCGATATCATGACCATCCATCCACACAAATGGGATGGGATGACATTATTGTATGTTGAATATGTTTGTTTGTTGTTTAACGCCGCACTCAGCAATATTCAAGGTATATGACGTCGGTCAGTACATAATCGAGTCTTGATCAGACAATCCAGTGATTGACATCATGAGCATCGATCCACAGATTTGGGATACGATATTATTGTACGTGGATAATATTTTTGTTTAACGCCGCAGTCAGCGATGTTCTAGTTATATGACGGCGGTCTGTAAATCGCCGAGTCAGTCTTAGACGACTGCTCCCCGTACTCATGACAAAATACGCATTCAATGTATTGTTTGTATGATTCTATCGAATAGTTGATAACATGCATTAAAGACCGCCTCTGTGGTCTTGTGGTAGAGCGTCCGCCCGGAGAGCGGAAGGTCCAGGGTTCGATCCCGGGCCGCGTCATACAAAAAGACGTTAAAAGATTGTACTTGTTGTTACCCTGTCTGGCGCTCGGCATTAAGGGGCTAAAACAAGGACTGGTCGGCTCGGAGTCAGTATACTGTGTCTGAGTGGGGTATTCATGTTAAACTGCGGCATGGTATCTCAGTGAGCTAGCACTATAAATCGGCATCAGTCCGGACTAGTACAAGCAGCCACACACACACATACACGTGCATGCACGTCGCTATATAAGTGCAATAATCTTGGACGCGACGTTAAACCCAATTTCACCTCACCTCACATGCATTAAAACAAAAGACAACCCACTTTATTGTATATTATTAGTTGTAGCAGGATCACGAGGGGTCCGGCTCGTCGTATAAAACCTAACGCGGGGGGCATAAAACCCCATGTCCCACGACTGATCCTGCTCCAACGGATTTATCTAACCGGCATGTTTTAGTGTGACATTGCAAAACAATCAAACAAATTCAAAATTGATAGAAAACAGCTGTTCGTTTGAGCTGAGGTCAACTTACTCTATGTCACGTGGTCTAAAGGTAGTTTTGTTTTTCTAGCCGCGAATAGCTGGAATATTGCTGATGCGGCTTAAAGCACCACTTTCTTACTCACTCACTCTATGTCACGTGACTTCCATTGACTGGAGGAAAAAGCGTGCGGCATTTAGCTTTGAAGAGATTTAATCTACCGCTGAGAAATGTATTACCCTCCAAGGCGGGTTTCACAGTATTTTATCAACATCACGTGGACCAATCATATTTCATCATTCTGGTATGAGGTATGATAAATATTTTTTTATTAACCTCAATTTGTTTCCTCAAAATCGGTTGCCATGTTGAAAGTACTAGATCGGTAAAGATGGTCAGTACGCGGTAAGCTCTAAACTCATGTTATAGCGAGCCTTCGTTCATTGCTGCCAGAGTTAGTACATAGCTCACGGAAGGAACCGAGTTGACACGAATGAAGTCGCGTGATTGCGTTTAGATAGTATTTTGTTTTCTTGCCTGGTGACCTTTGTCTCACTGACCTTTGTCTCACTGACCTTGTGCCGCTTCCCATTTAACTGAATATCACGTGACAGTGATCACATTTCCCTCGCCGACGGGAGTGAAGGTGAGACATTTTGACATCCTCTGACGCCCGGCATGCACATTAACAAGTATAACGACTTTATTCAGTTACAACCATAAAGTCAACATTTGCTTCATTTTACATAACCTTTGAATCAAAAGGTTTTGATAAAGTGGAGTCTGTGTAAACCGACAGGTTTTGTTAACGCGATACTTTTGTTTGCTTGTTTGTTGTTTAACGCCACACTCAGTGATATAGCTATATGACGGCGGTCTGTAAATAATCGAGTCTGGACCAGACAATCCACGCAATTGGGATGACATGCATCAACCAAGTCAGCGAGTCTGACCACCCGATCCCGTTAGTCGCCTCTTATGACAGGCATAGTCGCCTTTTACGGCAAGCATGGGTTGCTGAAGACCTATTTTTACCTATTCTAGGGCCGATACTGTAAAGCATGGAGTGGAATCGTTGAATGAGGCTGCCAACCCTCTTTTAGTACGCGGGACTCAGGGGTCTTTAAGAGGATATTAGGATCTCAGCAGTATGGCATGTAAATACAATCGTTTTTGGTTCTCTGATTCACCATTTAAAAAAATAATGATAAAAATATTCTCTATGCATTTTTTTAATGATTTTCTCAATCATGCTTTGGCGATTTGTGTAAAGTAGTTTTCGGGATTCAGGGGTGAGCAATGACTATCAGAAAATTAGATGGTGTTCGGTATTCCGGACAAGATCTTTAACGGCATCTTTGAGTTGTGTGCCTTTTCAGGATGAGGTGAGGTGATATATTCACAATATAACGTCTTGCATGCATGTGTATGTGTGTGCGTGCGTGCGCGCGCGTCTGCTTGTACGAGTCCGGAGTAATGCCGATTTTATAGTGCTAGCCCAGTAAGATACCATGTCGCACTCTACCACTAGACCACGGTGGCGGTCTTTTTCAGGATGAGGGAGTAAATGATGTTTAACGTCGTAATCAGCAATATTCCACCTGTATCGCGACTTCCTGAACATACTAGGGGCGGTCGGGTAGCCTAGTGGTTAAAGCGTTCGCTCGTCACGCCGAAGACCCGGGTTCGATTCCCGACATGGGTACAATGTTTGAAGCCCATTTCTGGTGTCCCCCGCCGTAATATTGCTGGAATATTGCTAAAAGCGTCGTAAAACCATACTCACTCACTCACTCCTGAACATACTCGAGTCTGGACATGGCTGACATAAGGTATAATGTGATATATTTCAATTGAATTCGAAGTCGAAGGCGTCGGAAGCACATCATTCTACTCAGTGGTGTTTAGCAAAACCAAATATTATATGTCAACTGTCAACTGGTATCTGCTCTAAATTTTGTATGAACGTGATTAAAGGTTGTACAATAATCTCATTGTATCCCAATTGCGTAGATCGATGCTTATGATGTCAATCACTAGATTGTCGGGTGCAGACTCGATCATTTACAGACCGCCGTCATATAGCCGGAATTTTGCTGAGTGCGGCGTTAAATAACAAACAAACAAGCAAATGTATTTTGTGACTGAATCCTGTATTCGTCTAAAACAATGAAGAAAAATAGTTGTCTCATTCGATTAAATTAACATGGGATTATCTAGAGCAAAATAACAGTTTTTACTGAACAAAAATGAAATATATGAACACTTCCGTTACAATAGGACACCAAGAAATGACTAAATGGATCGTGTGGTCATGATCCGTGACTTGGTTCATAGCGTGTGATCGTACCTCGACAGCGTGGATCATTACACAGTATCGATCACTGTATTGTCAAGTCCAGCCTGGATTATTTACAGGTCGTCGTCAAATATGGAATATTGTTGAGTGAGTGAGTGAGTTGGGTTTAACGCCGCTTTTAACATTATTCCAGTTATATCACGGCGTGTCAGCTTAATGTGGGAGGAAAGCCCGAAGTGATGCAGGTCTCAGACGTTTACCACTTCGGTGAAACCCACGAGCACGGGTATGGTGCTGACAAACCTAGAAACATAATTGGGGCGAACTGGGATTCGAACCCACAATCATAGGTTTCTGGCGTGCCCAAGGGACGCAACTCTGCGCAGCTAATCGCGGCGCCTTAGACGACTGGGCCATCCGTGCCCCCTATTGTTGAGTGAGGCGCCAAACAAAACAAACACACAACAATATTGAGTTAGGATTAACGCCAGTGAATCCTTGCATCGGCCTCAACTCTGCACAGCGAGCACTGAACGATCTAAGGTGGATCACAGTCCTTTCACCGCAAAATGAATTATTAATGATTATTAATGTCTATTTTTAATACCATGTTTTAGATCACCATGGCAACCAGGTGGGGTATCATCAGCGCCGGGGGAATAAGCAGCAAGTTCGTTTCGGCTTTGGTCAAACAGAACCCGAATGAACACAAGGTGACATTAATTATCGACATGGAATATCTTATATACACAATCAGCTATTCATTTTTTGTGGTAGTCAGCCAATTGATAGGAATACGTATGTTATCTGCGGAACAACAATATCGCACTGACACATCTTGTATACTATATGCTCAGTGTCCCTTGCTCAAACTCGGCGGATAATAGCGGGATGGTTGGATGATCCTCTTTAAAGATAATCAATTTCTAAGAAACATCTAATTGTAAATTGTTTGACAGGCATTTCTTAGAAGTTGACAAAGAGACAACAATTATGTATTACATATTCTTTATTGTAGTGTATGGATCTTATGCCGTTGCCAAGCAGGACTGAAAATAAACATAATATAAAATTATATATGGTGGGTGAAGGATTAACGGTAACATCAATTACATTCGTCAGAGGGATTAACATGAGTAGCTTCACTTATAAGAATAATCAGTCCTTGGATGGTCTTCACTGCCCCTTCTTGCAGATCATGTCTCCAGTGACCCATGATGGTCATACGAGGCCTCCAGTGACCCATGATGGTCATACGAGGCCTACAGTGACCCATGATGGTCATACGAGGCCTCCAGTGACCCATGATGGTCATACGAGGCCTACAGTGTCCCATGATGGTCATACGAGGCCTACAGTGACCCACGATGGTCATACGAGGCCTACAGTGACCCATGATGGTCATACGAGGCCTACAGTGACCCATGATGGTCAAACGAGGCCTACAGTGTCCCATGATGGTCATACGAGGCCTCCAGTGACCCATGATGGTCATACGAGGCCTACAGTGTCCCATGCTGGTCATACGAGGCCTCCAGTGACCCATGCTGGTCATACGAGGCCTCCAGTGACCCATGCTGGTCACACGAGGCCTCCAATGACCCATGATGGTCATACGTGCCTACAATGTCCATTCTGGTCATCTTTTGAGAGGAGAGGATGCTTATCTGTTCGACAATTTTCCTTGCAGGTCGTAGCCATTGCAGCGAGATCCAAGGAAAAGGCCCAAGCTTTTGCAGACAAATTCAGCATCCAAACAGCATATGGGAGCTACGAAGAATTTGTTCAAAACCCAGATGTTGGTAAGGTATTTTGATCAGCTGTTGTAGTGGTTAGTAGGATTATGTTTGGTCTTTGGTGAGGGGCAGTCATGTGCAGTCTCTATTCTTGCGAACAACTTAAACCTCTCTGAGAAAGAGAGTTTTATGGTGGGGTGGGAAAGAAGTCGGGTCAGGCAAAGTGCCACCTGGTGGCAGACTGACGTTAGATAAAGTCCCCCCTGGTGGCAGATTGATGCCAGACAAAGTGCCCCCTGGTGACAAATGCCCTGACATAGGAAAATAGAACATAATTAGTTGACAGAATATTGAGCTAAAATAATATTTTTGAATCGATATATTTTTCATCGTTATATTTTTCCAGAGGTCGTGTACATCGGTTCGATTCACCCAGAACATCACAAACTGAGTGTTCTGTGTCTGAATGCTGGGAAACATGTTCTGTGTGAGAAACCCGTTACTATGACAGTGGCGGCAGCTAAAGAATTGTTCGCCCTCGCCAAAGAGAAGAAGCTCTTCTTCATGGAGGTAACCAAACGAAAACCACATCGTGTTATTAGTTGGAACTAGGTTTTTGTGAAGGTTGATTGTATATAAGTATCTTTTGAATTGATTTAGGATAAAAACTTCTAAATAGGTAAGTACGTGTACATAAGACTAACGAAAATTAAACACAGGAGATCAGTTATCGAATGTGTTTAGGCGGAGGCATGTTTACCACTGCATGGGGACAAATCACAGCTTGAGTCATCGTTGCGTTGACGAAATGGGGTGAGGTTGGCCAATTACCATTTCAGTCACTGGTTTGCCTTGGCGGCGTAAAATACATTCACTCACTCAGTCGTACTATACACAGTACATAGTCTTAGTGGAATGCACATTGGAAATGCAGTACTTCCTTGGCATTTTTACTGCAAACCTTCTGCTCACAGACATGAAGCATCTAGGAGGACTGGGCATCTAGGGCATCCTGTGTGTCGGTCGTGTTGAAATGGCATTTGTCTCCACTCGCCCTTTTCCGTCACCTGCAAGAAGACTCGTCCCCCTATCGATGAATGTTATGTGCGAAAATACGACAAACCAATCAGAATGCGCGTATGATTTCAAGTTCTTCGTCAAAGAATCCCTCAGAAACATTTTTTGATTTTACATATGTCGTGCATCTAAAAATATACCCAACACACAGTTAAATGTGTTCAATCATACTGTATAATTCAGCATGTCCCGATGTGCTTTAAATTGCATCTGAAATATATATAATATATAGGGAAAATGTGTGAACCATTACGCAACGAGTTGACAATTGTTTTAGGTATGCCCGTTTGCGCTAGGACGGAACCCGGTCGCAAAAATGGCCACGAGAAGGGCACGGGTCGCTATTCGGCTTGTCCCGGAATAAAACGAGTTGGTCACGAATGGGTGAAATGGCTCAGTTGGAATGAAGCGAACTCACCCGAAGCAGGGCCCACTGGAACAAGGCAATAGTAGTGCTAATATTAACGTAAATCTACGTTGAGGCATGGGAGGTGTGTTGGCGCTAAGGTCGCGTTGTGAAAGAAGGCCCAGGGAATGCATCACATTACATTTCTGTTTCACAGGGGTTCTGGACCAGAACCTTCCCTGTCTTCGACCAAGTTCGCCGGGAACTGGAATCTGGAACGCTGGGGGATATCAAGATGGTGACTGCCAAGTTCTGCGTCAACAATTATAGCAACGAAAGAATTCACAAAAAGGAGCTTGGAGGAGGTGGGCTGCTCGATCTTGGCTGCTACACCGTCATGTTTGCTGATTTTGTGTTCAATGAAAAACCAGAGAAGATTAGCGTTGAAGGCCAGCTTTCCGAGAGTGGTATGACTATTATTATCTTTGTTAATGAATAATTACTATTATAATAAAATCGAAAAAAATATTACATTGCTGACCTAAAGAACAAAACAATTAAAACTGAATGACAATGAATGTATCACTAAAATAGATCGTTTAAAACTTTTGATGTCATGTACAATTTGGATGAAATAGGGGTATTGGTGGCCCATTGGTCTAAGGCGTCACAGTTCTTATAGAAGGTTCGAATCCTAGATTCGACTTGAATATGATCAGCACCATATCCCTCCTCATGTGTTACACTAAAGTGGTAAACATCGATCTGCGTTAATGGTTTTCTCTAACATTCAGCTAACAGACGACGATACAGCTGAAGGAATCAATGGTTTTAAACTCAACTAACTCACTCACGCACAATTTGAATAAGATAACTCATCATGATTCAGGAGTCGACATCGGGGCTGCAATCACTCTCAGGTTCAGTGGGGGTCGTATCGCAAGCCTAGTGTACAACACCACCACGAAGCATGGCGACAACGCAGCAACCATACTTGGAAGTGAAGGAAGCATCAGGGTAAGCGACGTCCTGGAATCTCTGAAAGTCTCCTAGACTCTGAGAAACAGTCAAGGCTAACCAGCGCCTAAACGAACATGACAATCTCGTTCAAACAACTGATGTTTGCCAAAACGGACCCGGAAGTTTGGTTCAAACAAACCATGTCCGCCAAAACGGACCAGACAATCTGGTTTAAAAGAACCTTGTCTGACAAAACGGACCAGACAATCTGGTTCAAAAGAACCTTGTCTGACAAAACGGACCAGACAATCTGGTTCAAAAGAACCTTGTCTGACAAAACGGACCAGACAATCTGGTTCAAAAGAACCTTGTCTGACAAAACGGACCAGACAATCTGGTTCAAAAGAACCTTGTCTGACAAAATAGACCAGGAAATTCTGTTCAGACGACCGGTGTCTGCCAAACTGGACGACAATGTGGTTAAAATGGTTTAAAAATTGGCCGTTTTGGCCACGTTGCCTGGTCCATTTTGACACTGCCTAACCGTTTTGTATTCATAAATTCTAATTTACATAAGAAGTCATTGATGTTTGTTTTCAGATCGAGCCACCATTTTGGGCACCGACAAAGCTGTCCTCTCCAATGGGAACATTTGATTTCAAGGAAAATCTTGGCTTTCAATACGAACAACGCTGTGTCAGAGAGTGTTTACAGAAAGGTAAACACATAAGATACAATATTTTGGAAAATGTTTTGTATGCATATTTTGATATAAAAACGGGCTTTTGAAATATTGGATACATTGTATATAAAACCTCTTTCAAACCGAGGTATATTATTAGTGAAAATCATTGTTATAAACGTTTTCAGCGAATCTCTTCATTGAATAGCTCGGTAGAATTCTTTTCCGCTGTCGTGATAAAATTACTAGTGGTCGCTGAATAACGAGTGGAAGTTTTTCTAGTGAGTGAGTGAGTGAATATTGTTTAACGCCACAGTCAGACGCATTCGCCAGTGGTTGATATTATCACAGTGACACTCAACCAATCGAGCCACCAAACCTGACTACATGATCCATTTAGTCATCCTTATGATCAGGAAGTGGGGCCTTTCGGATCTATTTTTACCTGGGTCTCCATGGGAATAGGGCCTTTAGAAACCATTGCTCATAAGGATGGAGGTATACAGTTGTCAAACATATGAAACACGAACTAAAACAAAATAATACTAATAAATAATACAATAATTAGGGTTGGCATATATTTTGTGACATCCGACTGACTGAATAGAATAGTTACACCAAAATATACGAATAGTGTATAACCAGAGGAACATATTTCCTTACTTCAAGCTGAACTTTTATGTTCTACTTTTCTATTCCCCTTTTATGTTCCACTTTTCTATTCCCAGGCCTGTCCGCTGATCACCCATGAGAACATCCTTACAGTATACGGGTTAATGTATAGACAGAGGAACATATTTCCCTACTTCAAAGTGAACTTTCATGTTCCACTTTTCTATTCCCAGAACAGTCCGCTGATCACCCATGAGAACATCCTTTCAGTATACGGGTTAATGTATAGACAGAGGAACATATTTCCTTACTTCAAGCTGAACTTTTATGTTCCACTATTCTACCCAGGCCTGTCCGCTGATCACCCATGAGAACATCCTTTCAGTATACGGGTTTATGTATAGACAGAGGAACATATTTCCTTACTTCAAGCTGAACTTTTATGTTCCACTATTCTACCCAGGCCTGTCCGCTGATCACCCATGAGAACATCCTTACAGTATACGGGTTAATGTATAGACAGAGGAACATATTTCCTTACTTCAAGCTGAACTTTTATGTTCCACATTTCTATTCCCAGAACAGTCCGCTGATCACCCATGAGAACATCCTTACAGTATACGGGTTAATGTATAGACAGAGGAACATATTTCCTTACTTCAAGCTGAACTTTTATGTTCCACTTTTCTATTCCCAGGCCTGTCCGCTGATCACCCATGAGAACATCCTTACAGTATACGGGTTTATGTATACACAGAGGAACATATTTCCTTACTTCAAGCTGAACTTTTATGTTCCACTATTCTACCCAGGCCTGTCCGCTGATCACCCATGAGAACATCCTTACAGTATACGGGTTAATGTATAGACAGAGGAACATATTTCCCTACTTCAAAGTGAACTTTCATGTTCCACTTTTCTATTCCCAGAACAGTCCGCTGATCACCCATGAGAACATCCTTACAGTATACGGGTTTATGTATAGACAGAGGAACATATTTCCTTACTTCAAGCTGAACTTTTGTGTTCCACTTTTCTATTCCCCTTTTATGTTCCACTTTACTATCCAGGCCTGTCCGCTGATCACCCATGAGAACGTCCTTACAGTATACGGGTTTATGTATAACCAGAGGAAAACATTTCCTTACTTTAAGCTGCATGTTAACCCTCTGTTCAATGTTTCTTTGCCAGGCCTGTTGGAGTGTCCCCTGATCACCCACGAGAACAGCCTCAACATCATGGGAGTGATCGAGACAGTGCTCAACGAACTTGGCGTCAAATACGATTTCCCGTACACAGTGTAAACCTTACAATATGTTCGGATGTTCCAGAGGATAAGAATGTATTGAATCCGTGTTTTGTATAATTATACCAATAAAGGTTTAATAACGGTGGAAATAATTGTTATATATTTGTAAAAGTGGTGTGAAAGTGAGCGATATTACAGCGGTATATAATGCGGGGGATATAGTCACCAGCTCGGACAGTCTGTCTGATTTAGTCTGGCCGTCCGTTTTCGTTTCCGAATCATAACTGGAAAACTGTGAGAGAAAAATTTTAAGTATTTAATATTTTCCTGTTTCCAAGGAAACAAGTTAGACTCAGCTGAAACGGGTGAAGTGTTGTTTCTGGAGAGGAACCCCAAAACTATTCAAGATTTTACATCCAATTTTGGTAGATTTGTTCCCTTTCCATGGCAACAAGTTTGGCTTTGACTCTGTTCATTGTGATGTATTTGCCTGGACCATATCTCTTAAGCTGACCAGGTTTTCAGCTGGTGCTTTTTACAATTTAGGGATGTTTAGAAGTTTTATTTTTTCCGTTTCCACGGCAACAAGTTTGACCCTGTTCATATTGGTGTGTACATGTACCTGACATGGAAATACAAAAGTTCCGAATCACAATCCCATGGTATATTTTTTATAGCCCCATTAACTACTCTGGCATACAGACAGACAGAATAGATGCAAATCTCTCATCAAATTGGTCTTGCTGAAACTGTCAGGTGTTCTTTCGAATTTGTGTGGGCTGGGGGTATGGGTGCGGGGGGGGGGGGGGGGTAGGGTGAAGTGAAGTTTGTTTATATCTTTGAATCTTAACTTGGACACATAACAGGCGCAACTGGGGGTGTTATCGGGAAATAATGGCCGAGGGAACCTCTTTTAACCAGGGGCGGTGGGGTAGCCAAGTGGCTAAAGTGTTCACGCCGAAGACCCGGGTTCGACTCCCCACATGGGTACAATGTATAAAGCCCATTTCTGGTGTCCCCCGCCGTGATATTGCTGGAATAGTGTTAATAAAAGCGGCGTTAAACCATACTCACTCACTCACACTTTTAACCAGAAATCCTAAAAACCCTGTTGGCTCCAATGCTATCCAAGACCCCGTTTCTCAAAGCGATCGCCACTCTGCGACTGTCGTGGGTCATTGCGAAGTGACCGCCTCCGTTGTCTTGTGATAGAGCGTCCGCCTGGAGAGCGGAAGGTCCGGAGTTCGATCCCCGGCCGCGTCATACCAAAAGACGTTCAAAGATGGTTCTTGTTGTTACCCTGTCTGGCGCTCGGCATAAAGGGGCTAAAACAAGGACTGGTCGGCTCGGAGTCAGTATACTGTGTCTGAGTGGGGTATTCATGTTAAACTGCGGCATGGTATCTCAGTGAGCTAGCACTATAAATCGGCATCAGTCCAGACTAGTACAAGCAGCCACACACACACGTGCATGCACGTCGCTATATAAGTGCAATAATCTTGGAAGCGACGTTAAACCCACTTCACCTCAACTCACCTCATTGCTAAGTGAGTTTCGAAAGTCGATAACTTCGTAACCTGACTCTTGGATGTCTTCACGTTCCCCCCTTGGTACTAGTGGTACCATGTCATCCTACCAGATTACAGTATGGCATAGCTGTGGACATTGTGACCTGCTGTTAGAGAATTATGTCTGGCAAGGAATGCGGGTGGGCACACTGATCCAGGGGAGGTAAGCAGGGGTTGTACAGGGGCTGGAATAGACCAGCGGGTAAAGCGTAAACGCCGAAGGTCGGGGTATCGTGAAGCCCCTTATTGGTGTTCCCCCGTCGTGATAATGCTGGAATGTTGCTAAAAGAGTCCCTTACTAGATGCCATAAATAAGGAAATTACATTCTTTGAGGTGACGGACCCGTGAAGATCCGGGTAGAGAATAGGAGCGTCTGTGCTTGTCGTGAGAAGCAGCTAAGGGGATCGGGTGGTCAGGCTTGCTGACTTAGTTGATGCATGTCATCGTATCCCAATTGCGTACTTTGATGCTCATGACGTCAATCACTTGATTGTTTGGTCCAGACTCGATTATTTATAGACCGCCGTGGAATATTGCTAAGTGCGGCGTTAAACAACAAACAAACACATTGCTCTGACTAATATTTCAGCTATATCACAGCGTGTGAGCAATAATGTGGAAGAAAGTTTTTTGCCTCGTACTTTTTGGTGCAATTCACGAGCGTTGGTATGAGGCTGAAGCCTTGAGTGCGGGGTTAAGCAACAAACAAACAAATCTTTGAGGAGACGACAACCTACATCTTCCCGAGGCAAGGGAGTTAACTGACTATAAAAGTCCAGTTTCCACCCTTGCCGAACTAGGCTGGAATTCCTGGGCTCGACCGTAGCGCCACCAGTGGTTATTACGAGTTATGATTCCAATCAGATTCCACCTCTCGTATCACTTGCATTTGTTTCAAACAAAAAGGTGCCGCCAAGTGAAAACGATCTGATCGATAATCAAGATCTATATTGTGTGAGTGAGTTAATATTTAACGTCACATCGGCAATATTTCAGCCACATAGTGACGAGTCTATATTGTGATAAAACGGGTGTTATAAAGCGAAGTGCGTGAAATCACGCGAGCACCTTGATTAAAAACATGAAAAGACTTGGAAATAATCTGTTGACAACGAGTTGGCGGTGCATATGCTTTGCAAATCCTGATTCGACAGAAATCTGCACGACATTTTACAAACCGGATTTCGATTTCGGTGACGCGATTTTGATTGGACTATGCATAGACTCGTTAGCCCAGCCAAAATGTAAATCCATAATACCAGCCTAGTTCGGCAAGGGTGGAAACTGGACTTTTATAGTCAGTTAACTCACTTGCCTCGGGAAGATGACAACCTGCAGCATAGCTTAACTCTTGGGACAAACTCACTTCATTGAAACTATGGGGCTTACAAACCAACGATCATAATCAGAGATTCAAACCCACGTTCAGTGAATACTGGTACGACTAAGGGACGCAACTCTGCATGGCAAATTAAGTCGTCGAGTACCATTAACATCAAAGCGAGTGAGTTGTGGTTAACGTCCATGTCTCGGCTGTCAGCTCAGTTTCGGAGGTAAGCCTTAAGCGACGCAGGTCTCAGACGTTTATCACTTTGGTGAAATGGTGAAACCCACGAGCATGAAACTTTGAAACATAATCGGACCGAAGCGGGATTCGAACCCACTATCATAGGTTTCTGGCGTGTCCAAAAGGACGCAGCTCTGCACAGCGAATTGTGGTGTCTTAGAATACTTGGCCACCCGTGCCCCTGTTGACCCCTAAGGCATCTGTTCTGTATGGTGTGACTTACATTGAACTGCAACCTAACTTGAAGACGAAATGTCAATCATACACACATATATATATATATATATATATATATATATATATATATATATACATCTCACGTGTGAGGGGGTCACGGGTGGCCCAGTCGTCTAAGGCGCCGCGATTCGCTGTGCAGAGTTGCGTCCCTTTGGCACGCCAGAAACCTATGATTGTGGGTTCGAATCCCGGTTCGCCCCGATTATGTTTCTAGGTTTGTCAGCACCATACCCGTGCTCGAGGGTTTCACCGAAGTGGTAAACGTTTGAGACCTGCATCACTTCGGGCTTTCCTCTCACAATAAGCTGCCACGCCGCGATATAACTTGAATACTGTTAAAAGCGGCGTTAAACCCAACTCACTCACTCACTCACTCACGTGTGAGACATATCGTTTTGGTAACAACCCGTGTCTCTCTACGGTAAACACTATCTACGGAACTAACTTATGACTGTGACACTGATCTGAGATAAATGATATGCGAATAAATAAGAACGTCCTTGACCCATTGAGGCTCCCACCCTGTTGCTTTAACGGTACACGTATTATCAGCCAACATGCCGCTGTCTTCGTGTCCTCAGCGTGTGTGACTTACATCGGACGCTGATGTTGACTGCGTTTTGGCGCTGCGATAGGGCTCTGTTTATTGTGACTGTTTTCAGTAGATCCAACGACCCCTCTATTGGAATATTAAAAGGTCAGTCTCGTAGATGGGGTTGGTTTGGGCATGGAGAGGACTGTATATGGGGATTTCGAAAAATATCTGATTTATTTTATGCCTGACTTGTCAAAAAGACTGCTCTCATTGACATATTTAAAACAGTGAATAGGTTCATCTCGCATGAACGCACTAAGATAACGTAAACCAGTTGAAAAGGACGGGAAGTGACCTCTTGCGCACTTTCAAAGTTTTGTGATATAGTCGACCCTGTGCACAAAGAGTGAGGTAGGCAATCGTTTTTCACACTTGATATAACATTAATGTTTACATTAATTACACATAATTCGGAAGAGTTTGTCACAGCAGTGTCACACGGGAACTAGGCTAATTTTTGCATAATTATAATTCAAAGGGTGCGTATTTAGTTTCATGTATAGTATTGCATTGAATATGCATTCACTCAGTTAAAAACCAGGATCGAAAGTGAAGAATGATCAAACCACTCACTCACTCGCACCCTACCACCTACGTCGCTGATTTTTTCCCGTTGCAACAAGCCATTGTTTGGTTTGTCTCTTCAGATTCATCATAAAGTTAGCCATGGCAACCAAGTGGGGAATATTCAGCGCTGGGAAAATATCCGGGGATTTCACTGCAGGCCTACTTAGTCAGAGCTCGGATGAGCATCAGGTGAGTATGTGGGTGAGGGAATGTGTTTTGTGAATGAATGAGTGAGTGGATGAGTGAGTGTATTTTGTGGATGAGTGGGTGATTGGGTTGATTTGTGAGTTAGTGGGTGATTGGGTGTGTGTGTGTGGTTGGGTGATTGGGTGTGTGTGTGTTTGGTTGGGTGATTGGGTGTGTGTGTGTGAGTGGGTGGGTGATTGGGTTGATTTGTGAGTTAGTGGGTGATTGAGTGAGTGATTAGGTGGGATATGTGAGTGAGTGAATGGAAGAGAAACAAACCAGGAAGTGAATGAGTGATATAGGGGTGTTTTGTGGACAGGTGAGAATGTGATTCCAGATTCGCCTTGATTCGCCTTCGCTTTGTTTGTTTCACTCACTAGCAAAAGGTAACGCCTAAATATCAACTCGCCCGAACAAAACAAAATACAAATCATGTGATGAAACCACACCTCAAATTTCTTTCGCTTTACAAACGGTGAAAATTACTGTTTCATCAATACTTCTACTAGAACGCCTCAAATCTATGAAAATAAAAATGGAAGTAAAAACAATAATATAACACTAAGAACATGGCCACAGTTTCAGTAGCCGTTGACTATACATGAATGTGCTGCTTTATTCCAGGTATTAGCTATAGCAGCAAGATCACAAGAGAAGGCCCAGGCATTTGCAGACAGGTTTGGCATCAAAACAGCATACGGCAGTTACAACGAGTTGGTTCAAAATCCAGACATCGGTACATAAATTCCGTATTATGATATATAAGTGCTTTGTATTTCATACACAACACTGAAGGTTAATCTGGAAACCTTTTCGATGACAGTGGAGACACATTACATACATTTGTCGTGTCATTCTCCGGACTACTTAAGAAATCAAGACCTATGTTTTCAGGACATGGGTGAAATAACCCTGATAAAACAGGCTCCGTGTTACATTTGGATTGTTCTCGTTCACGCCTGTCATGAACTTTGATGACTTGCTAGTACGACTTTCTGTCACTGTTCTTACCGTGATGACGAAGATTCATAAAAGTTAATGTAAGTGAACGCGTAAAACAAGGTGACCATGGTTAGACAGGACATATGAATTGACATACATATCGATGGTCCTTCAATTCTGCCATTCTGCACCTGGTTTGAGAAGATATTTACCGTTAGTTGTAATATGTTGACCCCCGCGCTTATCGGTATATCATCTTCCCGAGGCAAGGGACTTAAGTGACTGTAAAAGTCGAGTTTCCACCCTCGCCGAACTAGAAATAGAAAGCGACAAAACCATGTCCGTAGCCATGTAAACTCTGCAATGCGTCCGTTGTATAATTCCGACTATATCATGAGCATATGTTAATGAATCACTATAATTAGTGATGGGGCCAGGGGTTCGCAAAAACGGAAGCGTATCCTGCCCCACCGGTGGCACCCGTCTTCAAGCAATATTAAAGTTCGTACAACACCATTTTCTCGAGGCAAGGGCGTTAACTGACTATATAAGTCCAGTTTCCATCTTGTCGAACTCGGCTGGAATTATGTTTTGGCTGGACTAACGAGTCCATGCACATGCCATTCAAAATCGCGGAACGAACTAAACATGGATTTCAACATGCAGATTTCGATCGACTGCAAGATTTGCAAAACACGTGTATCGTTAACCGGGCGTCGACAGATATTTTCCAAATCTTTTCATGTTTTTAATCAAGGTGCTCAAATGATTTGATGCACTTCGTGAGATAAGGCCCTTTATATTACATTACAGATCTTGATTATCGATCAAAACGCCTTCACTGGGCGAGGCCATTTTGTTGCAAAGCAAGTGATGTGAGAGGTGGAATCTGATATTGTCAGTCGAAGGGATAGAGAAGCAAGGGTGGGTCCAGCATTTTTTTTAAAAGGGGAGGGGTCCAACGTATCTAAATCCTGTCGTCCGGGTAGGAGTGACGGTTGGGCCACGAAATTCCAGCCGAGTTCGACAAGGGTGGAGACTGGACTTTGGTTGTCAGTCAACTCCCTTGCCTCGGGAAGATGGTATTTTGAGGTTAAAATCACGACGTAATTTGAACACTAATGATCAGACTAATGGTAAAATCTTTGAGAACATACGTTGTCTTAAAGGGTATTATTGGTGTAATATTATTCATATCTACCGCAACCAATGTCACCCATAATCACCACTGACAGCAAACACCGGTCAGAATGTCGATATAGACATAGAGCTATGTTGTCTGTATACCAGACGACGTCAAACTTAACATCTGAAACATAAAACTGAATTAAGCGCCATCAAATCTACAGGTTGTGGTCCCTAAAAAGGAAGTGAAAAAAATATTAGTAAGTTATATTGTGTTATTCCAGATATCGTGTACATCGGTTCGATTCACCCAGAACATCACAAACTGAGTGTTCTGTGTCTGAATGCTGGGAAACATGTTGTGTGTGAGAAACCCGTTACCATGACAGTGGCTGCCGCCAAGGAAGTGTTCGCCCTCGCCAAAGAGAAGAAGCTCTTCTTCATGGAGGTAAAATAAAACATGGCGTCTGTGTATCTGCAACGATATGTCGTTTCCAAGCTCGTTTACAATACGACACAACCTGATGTAATAGAATACAACCTGATCCGATCCAACGGAGCCGTATCCAAAACAACACATCTTTATCTAATACCAATCAAATTAATCAAATATATCCCAACGCGCAGTCCAATACAACCCAAAGTTATCAAGCACAGGGTAAGCCAAAACAACACGAGACAATCTAAAACCCCGCAACGCAACGCAATACAATACCACACAACACAACATAACGCAATCCATTACAACACAAAGCAATCTAACACAACACAATCCAATACAACACAGCGCAATTCAATATAACACAACGCAATCTAATACAACACAAATTAATCCTATGCTATCCAGCGTAATCCAATACAACACAATGCAATTCAATACAACACAGCGCAATTCAATACAACACAGCGCAATTCAATACAACACAGCGCAATTCAATATAACACAACGCAATCTAATACAACACAAATTAATCCTATGCTATCCAGCGTAATCCAATACAACACAATGCAATTCAATACAACACAGCGCAATTCAATACAACACAGCGCAATTCATTACAACACAGCGCAATTCAATACAACACAGCGCAATTCATTACAACACAGCGCAATTCAATACAGCACAACGCAATCTAATACCATCCAGTGTAATCCAGTACAACACAATGCAATCCAATACAACACAGCGCAATTCAATATAACACAAGGCAATCCAATACAACACAACGCAATCTAATACAACACAAATTAATCCAATGCCATCCAGCGTTATCCGATACAGCACAACGCAATCTAATACCATCCAGTGTAATCCAGTACAACACAACGCAATCTAAAACAACACAACGCAATCCAATACAACACAGCGCAATTCAATATAACACAAGGCAATCCAATACAACACAACGCAATCCAATGCCACACAACGCAATCTCATACAACGCAACGCAATCAAAAACAACCCAGTGTAATCCAGTAGAACACAACTTAATCTAGTACCATTCAGCGTAATCCAATACAATCTACACAATCGAACGCAGTCTACATTTGGCAGTTATTCCTGCGAAGGATGTTATTTGCAAATTTGGAAATAAACACGCATCGGACACATGAACATTTTAAAATGAACATTCATTCCATGTTCTCCGTCTTGTGCCCATTGTTGTCACTTTTGCGTCTATGTTCTTCAGTTTAAGGTGTTCATTGATGTTCATCTATCAGACGGGCATATGCATCTCGGCAACGATGTCATGAAATAGTGGATGTTAGCCTGATCAATATGAACTAAAACAATTTTCATACGAAACCGAGAAATTTAGGAAGGAATGTTTTCTTGCACCTACAAGATATGGTTATAGGATGATAGGGTAACGAACGTATGTAGATTTTTGAAGAAATGTTTTTTTTATAAGAAAAAAGTTTTATCAAAGCGTTTTGAAAATTGTTCTTTATATGTTACAGATTTCAACTTTAAATATTAAAGATTTCAGTTGGTATCTAATTTTGTTGAAAAACCTGCAGAAATGGGCTTGGGTCCAGGGTTATTGGCCTATATTATACAACTTAAAAGTTATATCTTTCCTGATACTGACTGTTTGGTCTTGAACCAGGGATTTGGGTCCATGGTTATTGGCCTTTATTACAACATCTTAAAGTTACATACTGACTGCTTGTTCTTGAACCAGGGATTTAGGTCCATGGTTATTGGCCTCTATTACACCATCTTAAGGTTAAACACTGACTGGTCTTGAACCAGGGATTTGGATCCATGGTTATTGGCCTATATTACACCATCTTAAGGTTACACACTGACTGTTTGGTCTTGAACCAGGGATTTGGGTCCATGGTTATTGGCCTCTATTACACCATCTTAAGGTTAAACACTGACTGGTCTTGAACCAGGGATTTGGATCCATGGTTATTGGCCTCTATTACACCATCTTAAGGTTACACACTGACTGTTTGGTCTTGAACCAGGGATTTGGATCCATGGTTATTGGCCTGTATTACACCATCTTAAGGTTAAACACTGACTGGTCTTGAACCAGGGATTTGGGTCAATGGTTATTGGCCTCTATTACACCATCTTAAGGTTACACACTGACTGTTTGGTCTTGAACCAGGGATTTGGGTCCATGGTTATTGGCCTGTATTACACCATCTTAAGGTTACACACTGACTGCTTGTTCTTGAACCAGGGATTTAGGTCCATGGTTATTGGCCTCTTTTACACCATCTTAAGGTTACACGGGGGCACGGTTAGCCCAGTCGTCTAAGGCGCCGCGATTCGCTGTGCAGAGTTGCGTCCCTTGGGCGCGCAAGAAACCTATGATTGTAGGTTCGAATCCCGGTTCGCCCCGATTATGTTTCTAGGTTTGTCAGCACCATACCCGTGCTCGTCGGTTTCACCGAAGTGGTAAACGTCTGAGACCTGCATCACTTGGGGCTTTCCTCCCACATTAAGCTGACACGCCGTGATATAACTGAAATACTGTTAAAAGCGGCGTTAAACCCAACTCACTCACTCACTCACTTAAGGTTACACACTGACTGCTTGTTCTTGAACCAGGGTTTCTGGTCCAGGATGTTCCCAGTGTACCGTCAGATCCGCCGAGAACTGGACTCCGGCAGCCTCGGTGATATCAAGGTGGTGACGGCAAAGTTCTGTGTCGACAACTTCAGCGTCGACAGGATGAACCAGAAGGCACAGGGGGGAGGGGGCATCCTCGACCTCGGTTGTTACACCGTCCAGTTTGCCGACTTTGTCTTCGGCGAAAAGCCAGAGAAAGTTAGCGTTGAGGGCACACTATCGGAAAATGGTATGACAGAAGTAACATCTTGTAAATGGTTGCTGTTGTAATAATCATTGTGATACTCGTCGTGCTGTAAATGAAACGTAAAATGTAACTCGCTCTATATAACACCAACAACAATAATAATAATAATAATAATAATATATGTAGCAGATTATTATGGTGAACTTGATGACGACGATGAGTATGATGTTGATGACGACGATGCTACCGATGGTTGTAAAACTGCTTTTAGTGTTGTTGTTGTCATTATCATCACCATCATAATCATCATGAGACACACGGGTGAGCAATGGGTCCGAGATCATCATGATCATCATTATCATTATGGTTATTATGACATAAATTCCCTAGGGGTGGACACCGGAGCCGCCATCACACTCCGCTTTAGTGGCGGCCGGATCGCCAGCCTGGTGTACAACATCACAACCTCTCATGAAGACAATGCAGCCACCATCCTCGGCACAAAGGGAAGTATCAGGGTGAGTGAGGCGTCAGGTAGGAGACTTATGTGCTGTGTCACGATTAACAGGTTAAACGGAGTCTCTTGGAGTGTTGCTGACCTCTTTTGAAGCAAATATCAGAAGAAACCCTATGTCATACCATTTAATTCAATTGTAAACGGTGCCCTTTAATTGAAAGCTGTACATACAAACGAAATGAGCTGGAAGACATTATAAAAAAACCAACTCATTACCAGAAGACAAATTGATTCAGCGTATCTAGATATATCGGGTGCGTATATCAGCGAACTATTTCTTGTTCTGTCCCCGCTGTATTCCGCGGCAAAACAATCTAAACTCAATTTCTGTGAATTCTGCACCCATATTTTGATAATTCTGCATACAATTCTGCACACAATTCTGCATACAATTCTGCATACAATTCTGCAAACGTTAAAGCTGCTCTTTTCTGACTACTGGCAGACATTTTTATGATAAACTCACCCTCGGCTAACAATCTAATTGAAGTGAATCAGGAGATCACCAGTGTAAACATGCAGACATGCACTTTCAGTAAGTAATACAAAGAAACTTTGCTTCATAACTAAATATATATCCGTTTACATGTTTTAAACCAGATTTCGACTCACAATTCTGCAGAGTATTTGATGAATTGTGCTGCAGATAAATGCAAAATTCTGCTCGAGTTCCGCACAAAATGTGATTTTCTGCAAGATTCCTACATTTTCTCACCAAGTGGGCAGTTCTGCAAAAGTTTGGGGTCTGCTTGTTGCAAGCTATGACATGACACATATGTATAATGAATACCAACGCCTAGCCTAATAGGTTACTCTACAACATCTCAAATGCTTTCACTTATCTTTTCTTTAAAGGTCCAACCAAACTTTTGGGCCCCAACTGAAATGACTTCACCGATGGGTACATTCAATTTCTCCCTCCCGAAAGGCAAATTCCCCACATTTTACGGCGCGCAGAGTCACGGATTTCAATATGAGCAGCGGTGTGTCAGAGAATGTCTGCAGAAAGGTACGCCTAAAAACGTATAAACATTACATCCGACTTGTCAGCTTATTATAGATAGTACACCCGTTCCTATATGAACAGGTATTGTTGGCGCCAGATGGAATCGAAAGACATCAAAGCATAATGTGCTGAAAGTTGTTTTTGAGCTGCACGGCGCTGGTGTTTATTTAGTTAATGAAGCATCCGTAACATGTGTTCTGTAAACGAGTAAGTAAGTTAGTTTTAACGCTTCTTTCAACAGCATGTCAGTTATATAACAGCGAATCAACTTAAAATCCCGAAGCGAACGTGAGTTCGAATCCATATTCGTCAAGATTATGATCCTTGTTTTTTAGCCATATACCCAATGGTTCCACTAAGGTGCCAGATTGTCCTTTAACCGTCACAGAATCTTACGATCGTGGGGTCGAATTCAAATTTCACCTGATTAGAATTCTCAGTTTGTCGGTAGCATATTCGTGGTAACGTTTTTCACCATAGTTTTAAACATCGAAGACCTAAATCACTTCGGGATATCCTCCACCACACACACACCAAGCTGAAATGCCTCATGACTGAAAACTACCCGTGAAGATTCCGGGTGAGAATAGGTCTTCAGCAACCCATACTTGCCGTAAAAGGTGACTATGCTTGTCGTAAAAGGCGACCAACGGGATCGGGTGGTCAGGCTCGCTGACTTGGTTGATGCATGTCATCGTATCCCAATTGCGTGGATCGATGCTCATGATGTCAGTCACTGGAATGTCTGGTCCAGACTAGATAATTTCACAGACCGCCGTCATATAGCTGTAATATTGCGGCGTTAAACAACAAACAAACAAACAAACATGACTGAAAACAACTTTTCAATGAAGCCACCACTTAACTAACGTTCAGTGTTTCTATTCCCAGGCCTGTTGGAGTGTCCCCTGATGACTCATGAAAGCAGCCTTAACATCATGGGAGTGATCGAGACTGTGCTCAACGAACTTGGCGTCAAATACGATTTCCCGTACACTGTTTAAGTTGTCCCTTTTTGGCAACCCGTTCAGCTCCGAAACAGAAGTAAAGAGAACACGAGCATGGAGTAGAACTGTGGGAAGCGTGCCTACAATCTACTAGATAACGCATGATCGGCTTCAAAAAATAGAAACGACGAAGATCATGAAACTTTGACTTCCACTGGAAGACGCAGTTAAAGATATCACGGCGGGATTGTCTGATATTGTTACTTCATATAATAAACATAAAGTGTGTGTTTTGTTGTGTGATTGTTTTACTTTTACTATTTTTCTTTGGTATATTCTGATTGGCAGATGGCAGTGGATATTATGTCACATTGCAATGTTACCTATATTACGTTACTTAGTTCTGCAAATTCGGATTTTACTATTTATTTACTATTTCTAAGTCCGTGTCTTATGTTTTGGTTTGGTTTGGTTTGTTGATTAACGCCGCATGAAGCAATATTCCAGCTATATGACGGCGGTCTGTAAATAATCGAGTCTTGACCCGACAATCCAGTGATTAATATCACGAGCATCGATCCACGCAATTGGGATCGATGACATGCATCAACCAAGTCGGCGAGCCTGACCACCCGATCCCGTTAGTCGCCTCTTACGACAAGCATGCGTTCCTGAAGACCTATTCTACCCCGGATCTTCACGGGTCCTTAAGTTAATAAGGCTAACATAAGTGTGGTGTAATTGTCACGTTTCCGCATTCGTGCTACCTCATCCCTTTATGCGATATAATAAAGTTATCAATGATGTTTTCGAGAAATGTCATATATAAGGCCTCCCTAATAATCTCAATCGCAAGAAAGCGAGAATGCGACAGTGTCCCCTACAGTATTCCATACATAAGTGAAACTCTATACCCTCCAAAGTAAGTTGAGAATATTAGAAAATAACAGATGATCTCAGAAATACAAAGAGGTATCGAGTGATGGTAATAGATGGATTAGGAAAAAAAGGACTAGTTGTAACTTGACATACAACATGCTGGCGGCGTATTGTAAGGGTGCAAAGAAAGACGACAGGGGTTGTGAAGTAAAACAAGTAAAGTTTAAGATCAACAATGGGTCATGCCCCCACCATTGGACAAATATTCATGTATAAGGCATGGCAATGTCCGAATCAATTTCCTTAAGACAAATTTGTGGAAGTTCTGCCCACTCCTATTGCACAGCCAGGCCCAGCGTAACGTAGCGTATGCTCTCGTACGTCGACGTACATATCTCCCGATCAAATCCCAGGCGTTACGATACGTGCATGGTGGTCCTGAGCGTCAACGTCTTGACAAAACCTGGACCCGCATGGCGCGCAAACGGCACAGCTACCGGCGCCAGTGTGTTGTCTCGGCAGCACTGTACAGTGACCCTTCTATGTGAGTGAGTGAGTATGATTTTACGCCGCTTTTAGCAATATTCCAGCAATATCACGGCGGGGGACACCAGAAATGGGCTTCACACATTGCACACCCATGTCGGGAATCGAACCCGGGTCTTCGGCGTGACGAGCGAACGCTTAAACCACTAGGCTACCCGACCGCCCCCCCCCCCCCCCCCCCCCCACCCCCCCCACCCCCTTCTATGTACTATATGCAAGGACGTTCTGGCAGCCATAGTAATCCCCCCACCCCCGACCACCCACCCATATCATTACCGCAGTATCTGCCAGGTTGCCTTACATTGACGATCCCATGACGTTCGTTAGGACGCATGAGGACATGCCTACTCCTATCCAGAAGGTCCATAATCAACTCGACTCAACTCATAACATTCCACGAGACCATAGGCGATTCCTCCAGTTTACACGCTCTTAACTCCTTTCACGTCTGGCAAGAATGTGTCGATTTGTTAACTGTGGCACAGCACGTGGTCGTCGAGCATATATAGCTGACGATTTCTATTCTGGTCAGTTACTTGAACTCCGTTGGTTTGGGGCAAGTGAACAGCAATGAGATTGACTGTTTGGGATCAATTTCGTAAAGACTTCTTTCCGATTAATAGTCCTGGGCCCACTTGCACAAAGCGATCTTAACGCTACGACTATTGTAAGCCTATGTTAAAGTATGGGAGTTACGATCATGTTATCGCTAAGATCGCTTTCTGCAAGTGGGCCCAGGACTTGTGTTTTTGACCTTGGGCGCCCTGTGCGGGATCGAACATTAACATTTTGTGTCTGCAGAAACCAGTTCCAAACTCTGCAAATCACAGACGAAGAGACGTTGAACAGAAAACAGTTTGAAACATGCCAAAAGCCCTTTGGCGTTCGTCACATTGACGACGCATTCCTAATCTGATCACAATACTGCATCGAAGCAAGATTAGATAGCTTACTGGGGATATAAAGATCAACAGTACTATTGAGTCAGAGCCATTTACAGCTGTTCACTGAAGTGTTTAATTCAACTACCCATGTTTCGGGTGTGTTTGGGTGTGAAGTATTTTTAAAGTACATATATGTATACACTTAATTTGGGAAGAGTCGTACGTTTGGATGTAGACATGACAATGGCAACAAAACACCGACACTTTGAAAAGTATTTACTTAACCTTTCCAGGTTACTTTCCCGTTGTCACTTGGTAATTTGTGTAAGCTCCGACTGTAAATTAATATTAAAGCTACAATGTATTTCTCACACATCTGTTGGTGAGAAATCCACTTGAGATAAATGGTATCAAAAATACATATGACAACGAATTCCAGACCCTTGATTGGGTTCTCCATGGTGATTACCTCAGGTCAGATTTTGTCGGACTACTCTCCTCGTGCTTCGGTCGAATTTACCTATAGCTACGTCATTGATCTTATCCAGTGTGCATTATCATCATCATTTTGGCAATCCACAGATACAACTGGAAGTTCATTTGTGGATGGTCACACTGGATAAAAGTAGTAAGCGGTAAGCCAGATGACGTCACTCATGACTTTGTGTTAGGTATTAATATGAGCGACTGCGATCATGACAACAGACAAAATATGCATCGGTGCGATGCTAAAAAGGTGCGATTTTAGGCAACAGCAACAGCTTGCCTGTCGTGCTTGTCAAAAACGATTTATCTCACAACTTGTTTGTTCAAAACGTATAACTCACACGATTTCGCTCGTAAGATACGTTTTGAAGAAAATTCGTTGTATGATAAATGGTGTCTGAGAGACACACTCGTGAACAGATCACCCGTTTAACGACCTTCACGAAAAAGTGTTCATTGACACCTGAACTATTTTGGGTCGTCAGACGTACATTCGAATAAGAGCACCGACAACACTGTTTAACTGTACATCAAGTCTACGTTTCTCCCAGCAGAATTATCTATCACATTACATTTCTAATTTCCCCCAGCACTGCATGGAAAAAGGGTGCATGAGGTTAGAAACGTATTTACATATTTTACTTGACTTGAATTTGTCCGTGACTTTGTGTGGTAGCCTTTGATCTATCGCAGGACTGGTGACAAAATACATTTGATAGAGAGAGCGTTATGTATTCTTACTTTTGGATTGTGATACTGCAAGCATGGTGACATTATACAAGCTAAAACGTCAGAAATAAATGACATATTATGGCGCAGCAGCATCACATTTACTTGCCCTTCACTTCATGGTGCAAATACACCAAGTGGGCAGTCGTTAGAAATTGCATCATCCTGTCAACTGACGTCATCCCGTGTCCCGCACTGATGTTGTTTTGTGGTAATTACGATCAATTTCATAATATACAAGAATACTCTTTGTTCGTCAAATTAAATTTACAAATGATTTTACAAAAATGTTGAATCAACACAGGAATGTTTAAAACAATATGAACAATATCCTTAACCAATGGTTAGATATCTCATCAAGCATTCTTCCCCTAACTGAAGAGGCGGTGGGATAGCCTTAAGCGTTCCCTCATCACACAGAAGGCCCGGGTTCGATTCCCCATATGGGTACAATGTGTAAAGCACATTTCTGGTTTCCCCCGCCGTGATACAAGGGCTGGTCAAAAAGTTCTAAGGCTAACAAACAAAACCAACAATTGTGAACGTGTTTTTAATAATCCTTTTAACATAATCTACCTGCTTTTGAATACACTTATATAATATCGATAGTGAAGTTTTTCAATTCCAGTAAGGAAGACATTCATTCACGGCAGCTTTGAGGTCATTATATCGAAGATAAGTATCACTTTATTTTAATTTGTGATTGTTATCAAGCTTTGAGGTCAGAATATATATCCTTGCATTATTATGAGTTCCCGACAAGACATAAGTACAATATTTTAATGTCATCTACCAACCCATTTACTGTTAAGAAACTAGCCATGTATATTCTGAAAGCTATGAATCTAAGGCAAAGTCTGTTGGGATCTCCAACTCCCATCATGGGCCTATGGCCTACAATACATCTGAATAAAGTGAAAAAAAAAAGAAAAAAAAAAAAGGTCATCGTTGTCGTCATATCGCTTTCCATGAAGGTGTTCTTTCAGTTTAGGAAACAGGTGGAAATCACGTCTGGCGAGTATGAGGGGTAAGGAAGCTATTCGAACCCACATTGTCGCACAACAGCCTATGCAAGTCGAGATATGTGAGAAGAGGCATTGTCATTCAGCAGTAGAACTCCAGCAGTCAGCGTTCCTTGGCGCTTTTCTTTAATAGAATTTCTCAGGGGATGAAGCAAATCAACATAGTAGGCACCGATAATCGTCTTTTGACGTCTTTCAAAGAAATCAACAAGGATCAGACTTTTGCATCTCAAAATACAGTGGCCATAACTTTCTTGACTGATCTTGAAGACTTGAATTTCTTTGGTGCCGGAGAAGTGGAATGGTACAGCCATGGATTGACGTTTTGGCTCGGGATCAGAAGTGGTAGACCAATGTTTAATGACCCGTTACTAATCTAGTTTTTCATATGACAAAAAACAACAACTCAGTAAGCTCCAATTTTTCTCTGGCAATGTCAGTTCTTTTTTTCCTTAAGATCAGAAGTTAGAAACTTTTGTACCCAACGAGCAGATATCTTATTCATCTGTAAATGTTCAAGAATAACAGTTTGAATGGATCCATGGCTTAGACTTGTGTCTTCGTCAAGTTCAGCAAAGGTAATACGTCTGACAGTATAAGTTTTTCTATCTCCTTGAATGAATCTTCATTGATGGAAGCTCTAATTTTTCTCTGGCAATGTCAGTTCTTTTTTTCCTTAAGATCAGAAGTTAGAAACTTTTGTACCCAACGAGCAGATATCTTATTCATCTGTAAATGTTCAAGAATAACAGTTTGAATGGATCCATGGCTTAGACTTGTGTCAAGTTCAGCAAAGGTAATACGTCTGACAGTATAAGTTTTTCTATCTCCTTGAATGAATCTTCATTGATGGAAGTTGAGGGACGTCAAGACCTAGGGTCATCTAAGGCATGCTTTCCCAGCCTTAAACATAGCTGCCCAGCGTTTAACAGTGGAATAGCTGGGGCACCTATCCCCATACACTTGTGACATGCAGGCATGAATTTCCTTGGGAGTACTTTTCTCTAAAGTAAAAGTCTTAAAGACCTATCGGTTAATCATTTCTGTGTCCATTTTTCCCCCTATCACGTTCATCTGGCTGTCACTTATATTCAAACGGATTCAACAGACCGAATACTCTTGCAATGAAATACTAAAACAATGTACAACATTGACTTGTAAGTTAGTCGGGCTTAGAACTCTTTGACCAGCCCTTGTATTGCTGGAATATTGCTAAAAGTGGCATAAAACAGTACTCACCCACTCACTGGAAGACTAACAAAATCACTTTAAATGTCCCATAGTTCCATAAACGATGAAGAAAACTGCATAAGCTTCACATTCATTCACTCAGATGACATAATTATTCCTATGGGCATATTCGCAATAGTGAGTGAGTGAGTGAGTATGGTTTTACGCCGCTTTTAGCAATATTCCAGCAATATCACGGCGGGGGGACACCACAAATGGGCTTCACACATTGTACCCATGTGGGGAATCGAACCCGGGTCTTCGGCGTGACGAGCGAACGCTTTAACCACTAGCCTACCCGACCGCCCCATATTCGCAATAGAAATGGGGTAAGGAGAAAAGGCATAGGTATTTGTACATGTATCTATACATCTCTGTGATTTTTATTCCGTACGACAAACATATCTGTATAACAAGCAATGAGGTGACTTTCGGACTGGTACAACGTGACACTATGTACAACGAGAGAAGGTCGTTTATTTTAATTCGCAACTACCCCACTACGAAAACACTATCTCATTTCTACCGCAGCTACACCGCGAATTTATCGCAAACGACATATGCACACTTAATGTGTTTCAGAGTACAGCACAGTGAGCACACTGGTGAGTTGAATTTACCTTTAACGACATTAACACACCGACGTACCACAGGGTAAGGTCAAGTCTCGTACACAATAAAACTAGCAGACATTATCTGCTTAATTGTATGTATAAAGTCACACTTGGCAAGTACACTCGACGAAGACCGAACTAATATATCTAACTCTTAGATTTGTAAACTCTCGCCTGGTAGTTGACTTCAAATGTATCAAACAGATCAACTTAACCTAAGAGTAAACCTGTTGTGTCTACACGAGTAGTAGGGTTATGGAAATGTGATCAAATATTTTCCCCATCATCAAACAATGTTATTGTTGAGTATAGAATCAGTGGCGGAATACTGCTAATTGATACTTTTAATTAAACTGATGTAAACATGCACCCTTGTCATAAACGGTCCACGTTGTTTGATTAAATGTTTATTGATATGAACCTTTTACCTTTCAAGTCACCTGGATACATCTACGATGACTATATAAGGTGTAGTTCCACCCGTCAGTCCATACCGCAGAAATCCTGAACATCAGATCACAAGAATATCAGACCAGTTCGCCAGCAGCCATGACTTCAACCAAAGTATCTGTCTTGTGCTTGATCGCTATTGGTAAGTTCGTCGTCATTCTACATCAATGACATTAACTTGGATGTCGGTCTTAGAACAGGCCACGCTAATTCGATAATGGTAATCGTTGTTTTTGTTGAAAGAAGACACAAATGCTATACCAAAGATTGTCTTCGTCATTGATGAAACTGATCGTTGACAGGGCAGTGGGTTATGTCCTCGTTTGTCACGAAAACGTCTTGCGTTTGATTTCCTATATGGGACATGGTCAATTTAAAATACCGAGAAAAGACTTTTGATTACTGAAATGCACTTAAATTGTATTACCTCGATGAAGGACGTCGTATCTATTGTTATCGCTTTCTTGTACCGTAATCGGGGTAAAAATGACCAAAACTCGAGAAACATCGAGAGTGAACGTTGTTTTACGCCAATATTCTAGCCGTATGACGGTAAACTATACCTAGTGTCGAGTTTGAACCATACAAACCAACGGTTGGTAGTATTGAGAAACATGGACGCCGTCTGAGTACGTCGGTGTCACAGAGTTGACAGAGTGCCTGATGGACACATACTTCGTATGTTGTTATTGGCCGGAGGCCGACCTCAGTGTACTTGATTGATTGATACTTAATCTTTAAATTGGTTGCCTCTTTGGGCTTGAACTTCATGAACCAATTAATCTGTTTTTACTTCGATTTGTCGTATCTTGTTGATGATAATACACAAACCCACAGACGAAGGGAAATAACGAATCCTTCATATAACGGCCTGTTTATACAAATTGTGTCAGTGGCGGGTGCACCCGTAGAACAGGACACGCCTATCCTTTTCACGAACACCTCGTGTCATCACTGATTTTCAGTGATCCATTCATGGTATTTTGCCTTTTCCGTCCAATGGAGACAGGCTATTCTCTGGCGTTGATGTCTATATTATACTGTAGGTAAAGTAACCTCGGTCTTTAACTCAAATATTCAACATGTATAATGTTACCCCTCTATTGCTATTTTTCAGGCTTGTGCTTCTCAGCTGTAAGAGGTAAGCAGAACAGGTGACAGTTATAGTGTCAATAAATGTAAGATGTATGCCATAGAAAGAATGTCTTGAGGATGAAGATACCAGTATCTTGTGGAACATATTCCTTAAAAAGTTGCATATTTTGTAACTCGGGAGAAGAATAGTTTATAGATACAATGTAATCCTATCAAAGTTGGCTGACTGATTGTGATAAAACTATGTCATGATCGCATTAATATTTGACTATGTCAAGAGTACAAATGCCTAATGAAGATGAGATAATATTCTGGCTTTGCATGTTCAAAGGATTTATTTGGCTATAAACGGACTATTCTGTTCATGTGAACTTTTGTTGAAAAAGTAGAAGACTATGGATAATTGAATGTATATTTGAATAATTTTAATGACCTTTTTGTCGTGTCTCTTGTTGTATGTAGTAATCCTTAGAACTGAAGGGATGTTAGTGAAAGCACAGTCATAACTGTCCTCTTTGAGTGTGTGTGAAGAGTTTTCACACCTTAACCGTGGCAAGATCGTGGATTCGAATCCCATATTCATCTGGATAATGATCTTTGCTTGATCAGCACCATGGCTCAGTTTGTGTTGTGTTACGTGTTGGGATCTAGTCTTATATGAATTCTTCTCTATGGTGAGTGTTTCAATACGAGTGAATGGAGTTTCGGAAGCGACAGTAAAATGCATTGTACATGAACGGACCAGAGAAGGTCACCTTTCAGCCGCAAGTTGACTGACATCGTACCCCAAAGGTGTTAACCGAATGGAGAAGGCCAAACAAAGTAAACCGCTCTGGTTTATAATTGTCCACACTCATCGTGGCAGGTCAAGACAAACTAATGCTGAAAGTGTGACATTGCTACAATGTTAGCCATATTTCGCCTGCTTTGCTGGCTATCTGTTGTATATGATATTCACGGCTACCATTTTGACCGATCCATCCCCTCTCGACAGATTTGTCACATTGAGAATACAGTACCGTATACTTATTCTGCCTTCCCATTCCCCATGAAGCCTTGCGTGAAGTTGAAGTTGTAAAATATTTGTGCATGTTACAGTTGTTCGAGCTGATTCAACATCAACGTCAACATCAACGTCATCGTCAACGTCAACGTCAACGTCAACTTCTACATCTTCGTCTACTGAAAATATGGGAGGTAAGCTGATGATGAGACAGAAGCTTCGTACATTTAGAAATATACATCATTTAAGGAATAATGATAGTTAGAATAATTCAAATGTACACGATTGATAAAGGTTGCACACTCATCAGTGGTATTACGTATTCGACATTCCATTACGATTCGATTCTGATATGTCGATCAGAGGTTTCAAATCACAGTTATCGCTTCCGTTTCGCGATCCCATCAACGAGGAAGCTCATTAACAGAAATATACTTCCTCCTCAAATATTGTCGGTTGGCATAATGTAAAAATGATATCTACAATTGGAGGTTGCAATAATACAGATTTGCAGCAGTTACTACACTATTCAGGGTATGTATGGTAATATATAATGAGCAGCAAAGCCGACAGAAATTATGCAAGAGAATGTACCCCGACGACGTGGATCATTGCTCGTGATGCTGATCTCTGGATGTTTTTATGCCTCGGTTGTTTACAGTCCGCCGTCGTATGGCAGGAGTATTGCTCAGAGCGGCGTTAGGGAACCAGGTCATGGTTACCCTTTTCCTGAAAAGAGATGCATTTATAAAATGTTCATCACTGTTTTACGTCCTGTGGAATCTGTCAATCGATATTATTCTCTGGAACAATAAAGAGTTTGTGCATACTGTAACATCGTTTGTGACGTCATAACAGTGACGTGCGGTGTAGAATTAAACCTTTCAATGTTTAATTAATGTTTAACTGCAGTCCTCTTTAGCTTGGACTACGAAGTAGCTTGCTACATATTTTTAGTATATTTTCGTATAAGTAAAGTGTAATAAAGTACACTTATAATGTTGTCATGGCCAAATAGGATCAATCCACAGGACAAATCCACAGGTAGCCTGTATCTACAGTTAAAACTCGGTATGACTATCTCAATTCCAACTGAGAATCATATAGCAAAAATACTCTCACGCCATCGATGACATTTTATGACATTCATTCAGATATTCCTATTGTATATTATTAGGTCCGGGTAATCCTGAGCCACAAGGACCTATTGAACCAAACGGTAAGTGTAGACCATATGCTTCTTCAAGGGGTGTGATAAGGGTCCCTTTAAACCATCTAGATCTGTAATTGGAAAATATTTTAAGGAAACTACCTTATTCATATTATTCAGAATTAAACTTTGTTCTTTTCAACTGTTTTTTCGATTTATAACAACACCAGCTGCTGTGATAAGACTGTAACGTGTCCAAAAGGATGGTTTTCTGCTGGTTGTGGTGAAACGAGATCTTAAAATAAATACCCAAACACAAGATTTGACCAACGCAGATTTTCTTACTGAATGTAGTTCAAACATACAACTTTGTGGTAACAATATTATCTCGTCACTTTTCAGTCATGTTAAGCCTACTTCTGTAGGTAAAAGGGAAGGTGTAAGAATGAAAGGAAACGCTTGTTGTCACTTATGTAAGCATGTTCGATAATAATCATTAGAATTTTTCTGTAACAAGTGCGCCAAAAGGGACCCTTCATTATACCTCCACCTTCAACGTTTTGGGCCACGAGGGGATACTGGGGCAGAAGAAGGGCGATATAGTGATATGACATAAGTTCACTGCAGTCGATGTACCGCATGTTGTCCTTGGTACATGTAACGTGGGTGGTGTGGAAGTCGAGTGGTTAAAGCGTTGACTCATCACGCGGAAGACCTGGGTTTGCTTCCCCACATGGGTACAATGTGTGAAGGCCATTTCTGGCGTCCCTCGGCGTGATATTGCTGGAGTGTTGCTGAAAGCGGTGTTAAACCAAACTCAATTATTACTTAGAGACGACTTTAAGAGTATAAAACAAAACACGTTCAACACATTCAGCAGTTTGGGACTTGGGTCAGGTTGTGATGTGCCACGTGGTATGACATAATTACTAATGTCAGCCATATCTTTGCTTGGTATCAGCTTTATATGCTATCCATATCTTTTACATCCATTTTAGATAGATTTACTTTGTCATAGTGTTTCATCTTGCTGTGATATCAGTATAATATTGATTGCTGCTGCTTTAATCTCCTTGAAGTCACTCTCAGTCTCCAGATTGCAGAAGAATTTAAGGAACCCCAGCAATGGCCAACATATCATCTGTGTTTGAATTAATTGCACTATAAAATTCTATTCAATTGAATACGTTTTGACGCATATTTTGAATGATTTCTGTTTTTTATGTTTCAGCTGCAGAGTGTGTTGGAGGTAAGGATAATGTTTATTTTGAAACTGTTTTCAAACATGTTGACAAACTTTTTAAAAAAGTGATGAACAGTTGTTGATGTGAGTTCTCTGTCCATCTTAGACACGACCACTGTGAGGACTGATTGGTTACAATGTATGACCTTTCTCATTGTACGACATCCCTCCTCGACAGCTGATCACCAGTTCAACCCTGACAGCATGACACTCAATTTATTCGTATTCAATTGTAGAATTCTGTGACCCTGAGCCAGAGGTGCGGGCTAAAATCACGGAACCAGCTGGTGAGTAATAAACTGGTATTCCATGATCACTAATTGGCTCTTTGCAGCTTACTCACCAAAACGTTAAACAATTTCACTTTGATCACATTATTCCACTCTTTTACTTGAAGATGTTGTTGAGCCAAACGTCCCAGTTGAAGTGACTGAACCGGCTTGTGAGTATTAACCGAGTCATTCCTCCCATTCTGTGTTTACCGAGACTAGTTATGCATTTAATAAGTTAAACGTTTTTCCCAAACTCCAAGAATCTGGGCGTTATGGAAGTAGACAGGGTCCTCAGAGCAAGCAGGCAGGAATATGTCCTTACTCTCAATATACAGAACATGGCGTACATATGAAATAGGAAAGATATAGCATATGTCGTTTGTTTGTTTCTGTCAGGATGTTCGGAACAAAATTAAACAAGTTTAACCAAATAACATTTTCTCATATAACTAAGTTATGATTACAATTCATGGTTGTAAATATATGTTTAGTTATGGCGTCCTCTATTTCCAATGTGTCAGAAATATATCAGAAATATTTCCTTTCAGCACAATGCGTGAAAGTAACCCTACCCGAGGGTGCTGTTTCGGCAACACGTGTCTACTGGAAAAACCCTGACAGAATTACCATCGCCAGTGTCACCCTTATCGCTGGGACCACGGAGGGCACATGTGTCGAAGGCAGAAACTATGTCGTGACTCGTACTGGAGGTTTCTATGTTAAAGGATGCAAGGGCACATTTCAACTGTGCCCCTAGGACGTAAGGCCATTTTAAGTGAGCCCCACGACACGATGGAACAAGTACAAACATTATTATTAATTTTGCAGCAGTAATGTATTGGAAATCCTAAAATAAAGTGTTACTGTCCTCATTTACGTTTGTTTCACAATAGTTTTGTTTCTTTGAAAGTTAATAATGATGTCCCACTTAACCCCACACAGTCAGGAGGCACATGTACTTGGCACTGGTTGGTTGGTTTGTTGTATAACGCCGCACTCCATTATTCCAGCTATAAGGTTGCGGTCTGTAAATATTCGAGTCTGGACCAGACAATCCAGTGATTAATATCATTAGCATCTATCCACGTAATTGGGATCGATGACATGCATCAACCACGTCAGCGAACCTGACCACCCGATTCCGTTAGTCGTCTCTGACGACAAGCATGGGTTACTGAAGACCTATTCTACCCCGGAGTGGGTTACGTCAGTACGTGATCATGCCATTGGTAGAATGCAAAAACTGAAAAAGACGAATACGAATTGGAATACACCATTTTGTCCAAGCCAACAGTCACCCAAAACCTGTCTGCCCTACATAACTAAAGTGTAATTGTTCCTACTGACAAGGCCTCAAAGAACATAACGTCTATATGTAAGCATCACAACATTCAAGATTTGACCAAAGAAGTGTCATATAAAATAATGCCACATGTGAAACCAGTCTGTTAACAGTGTAAAAAAAACAACCCACCATTACATTTGGCATGACTCTGAAACCTGAAAACATGTCAATTCCTCCTTTTTTTACTGAATTCCAAAGCTCCAAAATGTACCACCTTACCGCTGTCTCATAGATTACCTATACTTCCTTCTTCAGTCAAGGAAGGATTTTCTTCATATTCCAATATTTGGGAAATTGCTTGTAGTTTTGCATTCTCAGAAAAGAACCAAGTTTATATATGTCAAAACATTTGATTCTTCAACTTTGTACACCACTACTCCACTCCACAACCTAAGGAAACACTTAATTCATTGATGCATGAGCATTTGTTTTTAAACGTGCTGAGCATAGACAAAGTTATACCTTTCTCCAAAAGTTCTGGACAATATTTCAAAAGCAAATGTCATGAAAAACGAGATTTCAACACGCATGACATCATTATATGAGAAATTGGTGGATGGGAAACGTAGACAAGAAGTTGGCATCCTCATGAGCACCAATTGTGTGTTATTCTTTATGAATAGAAATTGGTATTTCTGCTCGGATTGACACAAGCAAAACAAGGGAATTTGGCCAAAAGATAAGCTTCAGGTATATCGTTCATGCAATATCGTTTAGTAGTTTCTTTACAACATATTTATTCAAATGATAACCTCATTATATGAGAAAGGTCTTTTAAGTTCATTTGATTGTTGTTTAACGCCGCATGAAGCAATATTCCAGTTATATGACGGCGGTCTGTAAATAATCGAGTCTGGACCAGGCAATCCAGTGATTGACATCATGAGCATCAATCCACACAATTGGGATCGATGACGTGCATCAACCAAGTCAGCGAGTCTGACCACCCGATCCTGTTAGTCGGCTCTTACGACAAGCATAGTCGCCTTTAGGGCAGGCATGGGTTGCTGGAGACCTATTCTACCCTGGATCTTCACGGGTCAGGGTCTGTTTAGAAAAACCTTAGTAAATTAATCACAACGACAGTGAGTCGTAATACATTTAAAAGACGACAAAACGGCCGACACGATAAACGTGACGGGAGTGGTTTCCGAAGTTGTTAACTTTGTTAACCTGAGGCTATTACAAGTGTTAGTCATCACTTATGAACTGGTTGATCATAGAAAGATGATTGGAAAGATGTGTCCAATAGATACTAAGGTCAATTCATATATTGCTGTAGACTGTCACTGTAGTCTAGACGCGGATCGAGTCGGTACCACGATAGTTTGGATGTGCTTTTCTTCGTTTTGTTCTCTTGGGTGGGTTATAGCGAGGATATCCTTGAAGGGGCAAAAAATTAAACTCTCATTACAATGTATGCTAAAACGCCAAGTATAAGATTAAAGGGTTAAACAACGCTTCTGTATGTATTCGTGCTCGGGAATCCACAGGGGTCAGGAATGTGGACGTAAGTCGTCAGTTTTCACGTCATTGCAAGAATACAGTATGCAGTAAAACACGTATGAAGTGCCGCAAATCGCTGTACAGAGTAGTATTCCTCCAGACATGTCGTGGTCCACAAACCAAAGGTAGGAATTCCACTCGGGTATGTGTGATCGGCTACTACTACTACTACTACTACTACTACTACTACTACTACTACTACTACTACTACTGACCCGTGAAGATCCGGGTTAGAATAGGTCTTCAGTCAACCCATGCTTGCCGTAAAAGGTGTCTATGCTTGTCGTAAGAGGCGACGTATGGGATCGGGTGGTCAGGTCTGACTTGGTTGATTTGATGCATGGCATCGTATCCCAATTGCGTGGATTTAATCTCATGATGTCAATCACTTGATTGTCTGGTCCAGACTCGATTATTTACAGACCGCCGTCATATAGCTTGAATATTGCTGAGCGCGGCGTAAATGAACAAACAAACAAACTATTACTACTACTGCTGCTACTGCTGATGCTGATGCTGATGCTACAAATGCTACTACTTCTACTAGTTACAGATTAAAATAGAAAATTTAGCAAAGAAGGTTTGGGTGATCCTTGGACAGTCATGCTGGTTATGCTCATCATCAGCTCAGGGTCCTTTCCCCCTCTACACACAGACCAGACAGTGAATGGGACTTCTCCCAGGAAACCCACCCAGACGTTTTCGGAGAATGTGAAGACTCCCCAGTTAGAAGCGCTCTATTCCTGGTAGCAAACCCGGGTACTCTCCAAATGTGAGATTTGGAGGTACCAAAGCTAAGGCACCGAGACCAATGGGGGGTCGGGCATCTTTTTCTTCTTCTTCTTATGTGGATTCACCGGAAGGTGACATACATGTATACGACTTTCGAGAACGTCATTATTCCTTAACCTCATTTATTGAACAATAATAATTGAATGGGTCAGTATTAACAGCAATCGAAATGAAGGGTGTATAATTCAATAGAGCTAAATGCGTTTTTGAATTTGTTTATAGCGGGTTTGTAAAATATGATCATGAATATATAGTATATAATTAAAATTTCATTCAATTGCTTTTATTCAAAATTGAAATTATATGTAAACAGTCTCTGAGTGCTAAAAAGCATGTCTTGATGTTATCAGGTTCTGAGAAAAGTTTTGTAAGTAGCTATTACAATTAATATTAATCTGCTGGAATTTGATGTGACAATAACTTGATCTGTAATAGTATATGTGCTGTGTGTTTATGTACTATTCTTCAACGGCTATTGTATTATGTTTATTGCTGTTTGAGATAATAAATAAATTCTCATGGAAATAATACGATCATCATAATCATGAATCTTTGTTGTGATATACATTCGTCCACCAGGAAGAGAGTGTCTGGGTGCACAAGTTTTGAAGTGCAGAGTTCTGTCAGAACGCCTAAAACCTACATCACTTCCGGCCTCTACCCCAAATTAAATTGAAATCCGTAAAGAAACTGAAATACTGATCAAAGCGGCATCACGCCAATCAGATCCGTCTGCAACAGACTGTTTTCTTCCAAAATATATAGAAAGGAAAAAGGAAGAAAGCTGCTGAAACATGAAGAAAACATTTCTGAGAATCAAAATATTCCTCCAATATTTCGAGCTTGAAAAGCACTTGTTTCATGGTGTACGTGATTCACTCACAGTAAAATATCTCTGAATATATCACTTCAGGCGTATTCTCAAAATATGTTAGGGTTTAATGCCAGTCAGCAATATTCACGCTTTGTCTCGGTGGCATGAACATAATTGAGTCTTAGCACGACAGTGGCTGATATAATGAGCAATATCCACCGCAGTTGGGTTACGATAACGCGCAATCTGTCCACCCGATCCATTTCATTCCACTTTTATGATCAGAATTCTTGTTCGAATCTATATCTTTTCATGCTTCTTAAAGGTTTAGTAGTGACATATCATGCACGTGGGTTTTACAAAACTCGAGGACGCAGCACAAACTGTCCGCAACGTTCCCGCAGAACAGCATAACCATGTTATTATTTGAATGTCACTACGACTGAATCCAAACATGTTATGAAACATTATGTCTTTGAATTAACCTTGAGATGCAGCAAGTGTGTCTACACACATGTAGTAATGGAATTGCTAAGCAAATACCATCACCTTGACGCGTATGTCAA